CGGTCGGAGTCGACCTGTTTGATCTTGTAGAGGAAGTGCCTTAATCCTATCCTTATAGTGCGCATCTGAATAATAATTGAGGTGTGCGGCTTACTGAGATGCTCGTAGAACCGTAGATTCTTCCTGTCTGGTTTAGATAGCAGCCGCCTCGTCGGCCTGCCTACTTTCTGCCTTTCCCACTGCTTTGTCCACTCAGTACGCAAGCGTTGGCGGATATCTCTTTTAGATGGAGCTGCGAGCTGTATAATTGGTCGATCTCGCAGCCTTACTGAGCTTAATTTAACTCTTCTTATCGCAGCCTCCTTGGCTGCCTTGTCCGCCTTTTCGTTTCTTTCCACCCCGATGTGAGCGGGAATCTAACGCAGTTCAGCATCCTCCAGGCCCTCGCTCCGCAGGGCCCTAATCCTCCCGTAGATAGCCCACAGTGCGTACTGGCCCGATGGCCGGTCAGGGTTGCGCACGGCTTGAATAGATGCCTGGCTATCTGAGAAGACCGTGATTGGGGTAGGCTTCGCCCGATCCAGGGCCATTCGGGTCCATTCTAACTCCCCCACGTAGACTGTAGAGTTCAGTTCCGTTCCTAGGTACTTCCTGGCGTTCCTGCCTGCTCGAATAAAGACCGCGGCGGCTCCGATCATCCCCTGATAACCGCTTCCATCTGTATACCAGATCTGCCGGTCCTCGCGGCAGATTCTATCGTGGGTCTGTACTGCCTCCTCTGCCCCCTCAGTGATGCACCTCAGGGGCAACTCCCACGGGGCTAACACGTGAGCCCGTCTGGTCTCCCACTCCTCCTGCCTGCCGCCGTACATATATAGCGGGCCTGTTTTCTTCCACTTCAGCGCCTCCATCGGAGAGTATCCGGAGGCCTTGAATGCCTCTTTCGACCTTTCCCAGCGCAGCCCCCGGGGGCAGGCTATAGCCGGCCCGGTTTGGATCCGAACGGCCGCCTCCTGAACGGTTTGTTGCATCTGTATTTGCATAGGGGAGAGGTAAAGCTCTACCCCCAGTGCGGCTGAGGCCGTTTTACGAAACGCGCCACTGATAAGAACAGCTGCGCGGGTTTGAATCCTCTGGAATTCATTGACCGTCTTCTGGAGCTTCTTGTAGCTGACCGTCTGGCTCTATATCAGGCAGCCGCCCCGTAGAGCAGCTGGAGGACTACCACTGCCAGGTAGATGCGACGCATGCTCAGCAGGGAGGTCCCCCAGGTCGAGCCTGAGATGCTGCGGAGGGCTTCCAAAGTCCCGTTTGCCTTAGCAAGGGCCTTAGCCCTGTGAGTGTCGAACGAAAGGGTCCTATCGAGCCAGATTTCTAGGTATTTGGCGTGCTCCACTGGCTTGATGATAAAGCCGGTTGCGTGGTCCTTGATGGGCAGCTGGTCGTGACCAGGGGGTTCCACTGGGGGATCCCAGTTGTCAACCTCTGGGTCCTCCCCCTGCCACGGCTCAGTATATATATATTCCTGCGGTACAGGTCGTTCTACCGCAGGGTCAGGGCGAAACGGGTTCTTGAAATGATTGAGTTCGAACTTATCGGGGGCGAATTTGGATAAGTGATTTCCATAGTCGTTAGGAAAAATAGTGACTCTATTAACATCCGAAAACGTATTTTCATTTGCCTATCCCTTTTAGAAACATACCACGCTGTAATCTTATTGCGTTCCCGTATTTCGCTTTCTCCAAAGAGCAGGAAAGACTTCCATGATCTGATCAACATCTGCAGCGCAGTTATAGCCATGGAAACTAAATCGCACCCTCCCAAGACCATCCCACGCGTACACACCAACGCTCTTCATCTCATCCACAATCTCAGAAGCACCTACACCGTTGATGGTGACGCTGGCACCGTGCTGTACTTTCTCAGCTGGCGTGGAGGACGGAATGCTTTCTTCTTGTAGCTGTTTGAGCAGCATTGTAGTCAAAGTTTGAGCATGCCGTTCAACGTCGATAGGGTCCCATTGTTTGAGGAATTGTAAGGCTTCACGCAATATATAGATAGCGAGATGAGCAGGGTTCCCAGAACTAAAACACATAGCATTGTCACGAATCGCTAACGAGTTCGTTTCCCAATCTGGGCGAGCCTCCCCGAGAGCAAAAGAGTACCCTCCTGCTGTGGTCGGCCGCCATTTCGGCTGTCTTTTCTGGTTCCAGAAGGCAATTGCAGCCCCGCTCGTGCCAAGTAAGAATTTGAAGCAGGCACAAAATGCGAAGTCGGCAATATTGGCATCGATTGGGCTGTATCCGGCAGCTTGGGTGAAATCCACCAGGAGGATAGCGCCCACTGAATCCGCAATTTGTCGATAAATTGAAAGATCAACTCGTCTCCCGTCATAGTATGACACGTAGCTGACCGCATTTACGCGGGTTTTGCTGTTCACCACGTCTTGGGGATTTTGGTCACTGTAATAGCGCATTTCTGTGTATTCCCCACATCGTTTTCAGTCCTTTGACTTCTGAGAGCAAAGGGCCCCACAAGACTAGGGAATTCGTTCTCGTGAACACAAACATTGTCCCCAGCTTTCCAATCCAACGAGTCGAGAATAATCGAAACGCCTTCAGCAACGCTCGGCGCAAACCCAACTTCTCGGACGCTGACGTTCCATGCCTGGGATATTAGAGCTCTCACATCTTCAATGTGCTGCTGCTGGTTGTGACGACCTGTATGACCTCCAGATTTGTCATTGATGTAGTTTGCAAGGGCTGTGTTGTATGCGTTTAGGGGCAACGATTCCCCGGCAGCACAAGCATGGGCGATGCCGGGAACCGAGCAAAACGACTTCAGAGGAAAGAGAGGCTTTTCTGCCATTGGAGCCTAGTTATGTCTAAGAAAATTCGAAAGAATACAACAGAGATGGATATGGTGTTGGTGGGGAGAGTACTTAAATGATGCAAGTTCCAGTTCGCCATTATTCACGGTCCAATGTCAACAATAGGGCGTGTATATGGCATGAGCCGGAGGGACGATGGTGAAAATTGTGGACACCATTATTCCTAATACGGTAAATGGTAAATGCCTTTGTATGGTGGTTTATAAAACGATTAAAAAAAAAAAAAACATAAATGTTAGTACTACCTTTCCACTAATTTTCTTAGTTGAGTTCACGATTGCGCACCGAACGGATACGGTGTTAGTCGACTAGCGCATCATTGGCGCATCATTGGCCCGACAGACGACAAGAAGAGTCAGTCGATCGACTCGCTCTTACTCCCAGCAACGACATACGAAGAACATAAAAGCAAAAAACATACAACAGCGGGGATTCGCTGGTGGTCACCCACCCAACTACTAACCTGCCGGCGTGTGGCTTAAGTACGGCTGAGCGGACGGGAAGCCCTGTTCTCCACACCCTGTGGTCGTATGTGCTCATCTTAGGACAGTAGTGAAATATACGGTACTCAATTAGTTTCAGCCTCTTCATCAATCCTGGTTATCTCAATCATACTCGATTATTCTCCAACTCTGAACCCAATGGGTCATTCCCAAGCTGCTCGCCCTTATTTTAACCATTTAGTCCTTCTCTACTTAGTGGTCAGTGGTCGAACATTACAAAGTACACCCCGCGTTCAAACTTTGAAATATAGACAAATCATGATTGCTAGAGAAACATAAGTGGATAAAAATAACGCCGCCTTATGTACAATTCAAGACATCCCTAAAGAAATTCGAAACTTTTTTCAGAGGTCATAGAAATGAACTATCCCGCCCCGCTCTAGTGAACTCTTTATCAATCACCAAGTAGGGAAATTTCTAAAAAAAACTCCGTTCACACAGCAGAAGTCAACTCAGCGCCATTGTCAATGAATCGAACGCCGGCTTATAACCTCTCGTTGTAGTAAGACCGATAAAGGTTATCCGCGCCGTGGACACGAGATGCTCCAGAGCATGTTCCCGGTTGTGACAGCTTCTAGCGCATCAAGCCACCGGGTAACCGAGTGAGAGCAGCTCCCCAAGGCGTTCCGCATGCCTCGATACTCGCTCACCAGCTCTATAGCCTTCCCCCTTGTGGCAGCCTTGGCCGCTTTCGCCGACATTCCTGCGACTTTCATGTAGACATACACTCCGTTAAAGCATGGAACTTGTCCATCAGAGCGGGTGTGTCTCAAACTCCTTCTCCCAGGGATAGTAATCATTGTAGAGACTGAAGACAGCACAGAGTGTGTGGCTAAGGGGGGTGAGCGTGGCATCCTCCTCGCTTGTTAATTCAATCTGCGTTGCGAAACGCACGAGAGCGATGACGAATCTGGCCACCTTTGTTGTCAGTATTTCGAGAACACAGGGGGGGGTTTAACTAGACCGAAAGAGTAAGAGGGAGGTAGACTTTACTTCCAGCCAATATCTTCATACCGATCCCTCAGATACTCGGAGACTGTCTCGTACTGGGTGTTTTTGCGAGTTTGGATCTCCTCTTCCGCAACCTTCCAGTTTTGCCATTGATGGAGCAAGATTCTGCCGAACTTGAGGTCCAGAGCTTGGACTTGCTCTGCTATGTTGGGCAAGACTTTGGCGGCGCGTGTCAGGAAGCTTTTCGTAATTGGGTGCTAAAGCGATTGTTACGTCCCTTTTTAGCATGATATGGCTTAGAGAAATCACTCTTCCTGTGCTGACTTACCTCTGTTGGATCCAATTTCTCCAGATCTACCCCGATAAGACACCATTAGTTGGGAATTTGATAAACACACCAGTGAGGAACGAAGAGAGATAGGACCAAGAAACAACTGACCATCCTGTAGAAGCCCGGCCTCCACGATATACGATAGCAGATGCATGCGATCTGGCGTGCAAAACGGAAATGCGAGCGCAGACAAGCTTCCTAACGCCCCGATAAGTGGTCCAATGACCTCGCCCAGATGTTCTGCCCCCAAAAGGTTGAGTTGGGCTTGAAGACATGCCTCATCACAGACCGTGGGACTTTTGTATACCCGTGGTTTAAATTGGTACAGAAATTCTGCATCCCTTTCATAGATAATAGAATCAACGATAAGAGACGTCTTTGCGGGATAGGGTCTCGTAGTAGCTTACAATTACAAGCTGTTAATACCATGAATGAATCTGCCGATGAGCAGAGGATGTGTTAATCGCACCGGAGAAAAGCAATTCAGGTTGCCTGCAGGCTTGGAGCAAAAGAGATATAGAAGGAGAGGCTGCTCTGTGAAACATTCTCAACCTGGCTACGATGGGTATCCGGTGGGGATGAGAGAGTAAAATGCTGCTGCAGGTAGGGCCAACTTAGTAGACAAAAAAGAGCTGTCGGATCCACAAGTGATCCGAATTGGAGATTTGATTGGTTATACTATGGAGTTGGCTCAATGGAACGACATGTGACGAGCAAGTTAATCATGTCAGTGGCACGATACAATAAGCTTGAAAAAGCCAAAATTGAGACTGCATGGTTGACCAGAAATCCCCTCTTCAAATCCTCAAAACATGTCGTGCCTTGTTTTTTCAGTCACAAATCTTGCTGTAGCCTGTATCCGTCGCTTGGAAGACATAATTGTCTTTTCTGTTCTCCATGGCCTCTCCGACCAGCAAGGCCGATTTCAATGATGTTTTTCATACTGTTCTGCAGTCCGTTTTATCCGAGACCAAGGCATACGGTGTCCCGGATGTGACAATTGAGCGTTTGAAAAAGGTTAGAGCAATAACGGAGCAGAAATGTATTCCGTCATTGAAGTATCCAATCACTGCTCAGTCATTGACTCCCAAAGCTATAGTGCATGGAATACAATACAAGGAATGAACGAGTGTTCCAAAGCCGGCTTGTCCCCGACACGGGAAGCCTGTTGCTCGGAAGAAGCCTGACTCATGATGAACTGGTGGACCTGAGCGTCCTAGGCTGGATCATCGAGATTTGGAAAGGGTACATCTATATTGTGGATGATATCATAGACGGGTCCCAGACACGCCGCGGGCGCCCATGCTGGCATCTCCTACTGCCAGGCACTGGGCTGCAAGCTCTGAACGATAGCTGCATTCTCAAGTCGCTCATTTTCCTGGTACTCAAGCGGTTTTTCCACGACACCCCGACCTACACGCGGCTGGTCGAGGCCATGCAGGAGATTACCTACCTCACCGAGCTGGGCCAGGACATGGACATCATTATCTCGCAGCAGACGGACCCGGCGCTGTGGACCTGGGTCGAGTACGAATCCATAACCACTCTCAAGTGCGGATATGCTGCCTACTATCAGCCCGTGGTGTACGCGCTTCACTACCTCGACCTGGCGACGCCGCACAATGTGAAGCAACTCAAGCAGATCCTGCTCCCTTTGGGGGTGTTGCATCAGATGATCAATGATTTCCTGGATATATTCGGCGAATTTGCGCAGACGGGTAAGTCAGGGACTGATATCGAGGAGAATAAGTGTTCTTGGGTCATTATCCGTGCACTGGAAATGTCTGAAGATGAGCAGCGACTTTATCTTCGGAAGCACTATGGCCGTTGTGGAAAGACCGAAGCTGACGAAATTCGGGTCATTTTTCGCTCCCTTCCATTGATTGAAGCCTTCGATCAGGAGCAGAAACAGAGAGTGAGCGAGATCCAGACAATGATCTATGACCTGGATGAAAGCGAGGGTCTCCGCAAATGAATCTTCCAAAACTTACTGGACTATATTTGTCGGCTCTACCAACCAGAGAGACCTAGCCGCTTTGTAGTGCTGTCTGAAGATGTAGTTCATGATAGAGAGGCAACCCTCAAGTAATTGATGATCGCTAAAGACAAATTGAACTATGAATAAATCAATGAGCATCTTTATAAAGGCTTATAGCCCAGTGTGACCACAGAAAAGTTCAGGGTAGTGATAAGACTACCTAGATTATATTTTATTTGATATGATCTTCTCCGTTGACGCGTAGTATAATATTCTTTTTAGGAAACTAGCCTAATGAAGATTTATTTTTATACATATAATATTTAATCAAAAGTAATACCTGCTCTACAGCAGCCCTTTATGTAACTTTATACGACGAATTGAGTTTAGTGCTCTACTAAAATCAATCAAAATTTTCACTTTAAATTGCAACACGCAACGCAACGTCTCCGTAGAACCCCCTTTCCTTCTAGAAAAGTATAATTTAGAACACCCCTATTAGTCGTTCTCTGTCAGTGTTTGCGTATATTAAAATATATTAAGATTGACAACGGTGTACGGAGCAGGATTTACTGGCGATAGGCCGGGTTAAAAGGAGATCACGGATCCGGTCAATAACTTTATTATACCATACTTCATTTCGACTTAGTAAAATTCTAAATTGACTGACGAGTTTATGATTACAAATGAGCTTTAGGCCATCATAATGATAATTTTCGACTATTCGCTATTATGGTAGGTGGGGTAACTGGAAATACGTAGCAAAAAATATCCGGACTTCGCCATTATGAATGGAATTTAGTCCGATCGTTGTGTAAACCCTCCCAAAAACTACATCGACCGTTTCTATTCTCCAAAATACTCGAAATGATATCAGTGCGAAAACAACTGCGGATCGAGGGCTCCCAGAACCGGGCCGCAGCAGTATAACATCCGTTCAAGTGGACCATCGAGTGGGGCAGGGAATCGTCTCCTGAACCGCGGCCTGGATCTGTCTCAATCATGAAATGACACTAATCTTAAACTCACCCCGTTGACTCCGTACGGAGTTGCGAGCCTGCGACATCATCCGTCGGCGGAGGATTCCACGTGTCGAGTCAGAGTGTGTGTCGGAAAATCCGTTCCAAATAACCCCACTCCATGATTGATGGATGAAACAGGTCCGTGTTTTGCCAGCCACAGGGGGCATATATGCAGAATCGCCGCCATGACCTTCTCTTCGACGCCCTCAAACTTTCGCAAATGTAACTACCTCCATCTTCGTTCGGCTAGTTTTTGGTCTCTTTCTTCCCTGACGGCCAACCGGTCTTGCCCATGGAAGAGATCTGGGAGAGATCGCTTACGCCTGAGCGAATTGCCTATTTGGCGCAATCTCGCATTCCTGAGGTCATTATCTGCAATGTGATTCTCCTCGCAATTGCGACCGCGGGGCTGGCGGTGCGACTTTTTGTTCGGATGCGATATCTTACCGGCATCAACCTTGACGATATGCTATGTATAACCAGCTGGGTACGCTTTCCTATCGAGCCTACTGCCCCAATATTTTCCTGGCCTCAACTAATGCCGGTCATCTAATTTAGGTCTTCACAATTGTTCTGTGCGCTACGTGCATGAGGAGTAAGTGGGTCTCGTGACAGACAGACAATGGCATGCTGACAGTTCGCGCCTCAGTGACAAAGTATGGATTCGGCAAACACATTGGAACAATTCAGGACTTTAACACCCGATCAATGTTCCTCAAAGTATGGGATTCTATCTGCATAAATTTGTGAGCCACCAACTAACCATGCCCGGTCATTCTCGCAGCTCGACTTCGTCACCATGATCGCATATGTCCTGGCCCTTGGCGCCATCAAAGTGTCCTTCTGTCTCCTTTACCTACACATTTTCCCCGGAAAGAAGTTCCGGATCGCCTGCTGGTGTATACTGGCTATCCTCGTTGCTGAGACGATTGAGGAGGCTTGTGTGGTGATCTTCCAATGCTGGCCTGTTTACAAGGCCTGGGACGCCACCGGTCTCGTGGAGGGGAAGTGCGTCGACATGAATCTCTTTTACTACGTCAACTTCGCCATCAAATTAGGGACCGACATAGCTCTTTTCGCGATGCCTATGCCGAAATTAGTACAGCTGAAGATGACGTTCGGCAAGCGGGTGGGCTTGGTATTCATGTTTAGTCTGGGTCTGCTGTATGTTCTCCCCTCTCTTTCAATGATTGGCCGAGCATAAAGTAACTGATGTGGATATGGTAGTGTTTGCGTGACGAGTGTCATTCGAGTAACCTACATGAATAAGTTCCAGGACGACCACACATGTGAGTTACAACTCTCTCTGTCTTTTCCATCTCATCTTACTGACTACGGACCATCGCACAGGGGTGTTGGTCGACACAATGAACTGGTCTTGCGTCGAAGTCGCGGTCGCCATCTTCATCGCCTGCATCCCGTCCTTCAAATCGCTCGTCACATACCGATTCCCGGCGCTGCAACGTATGCTTGGTTTGTCCAGCAAAGGCGGATCCATGGGTCCCTCGAGGATGTACGGCACTGCGACTCGTCGGACATACAACGGCCTCACGACGGGGCCTCAAAACAGCATTAAGCTGAAACCGGTGGTAGGGGAGAGCCAGGCGGAGGTGGAAACCAGCCAAAACGGGTCGCAGGAACGCATCGTGCACGCCGGTATCCACGTCACGACGGATGTTCGAATCAACGAGAGCGTTTAATGTGCGCCCGGGTAGAGGTTCCCCCATGTGATACTATGAATGTGATTAATCTTACTCGATTTACCCACGCTCCAGGACCTCGAACGTCTACACTGGTCTAACTGTGGATCTTTCCTGTGTTCTCTACGGTGTAGTTCCCGATCCGTACAAAGTAGCGTTATCCAGCCAGTCTATCCCGATCTTGATCACACTCCGTGCGCCCGGACCCCCGTTGCGAGTCAAGAACCTCCGCGATACATCAAGTCAGGGAAACTGGTTTTCAGTCTAGACTTCTAAACTGGCATGCCAAGAGGAAGAGTCAAGCCGGTGGGCCCGAACTATATATATAAAGGGCATTAGGCCAACTCCACGAGCCTTACGGATTGGGTAGAATCCTGCTCGGCGAAACAACGAATCTTTAATCTACGGAGTAACTTGTCCATCACTCCACTCCCTGTCGACTATCCGTTAATCTATGCGTTGCACGCCACTGCCGCACCAGTGGGAAGTCTAAACACCCAAAGCGTTGTGAGTGGCGGAGATGGCCCGAGGTCCAGGGGAGTGGGTCGTCTAAACTCTTCTGGTCGAGGACACCATCCAAGTCAACGGCCGAACTTGCAGCGCATAATTCCCCGAAAAACCTTATTTCGGAGCACTTCTGATCAGAGGATGGTTAATTATAGCTCTCTTAGCTCCAGAGGATTGTACGACAGGATGTAATTGTACGGAGTAGACCTTGCGTATCCTCAAAGGTGACGCAGGGATGCCTTGTGGACTAAATGTATTATGGTAGAGACGGCTCACCAGTCACGATGAGTTCATCACGCCCTATGTCAGCTGTCAACCCTAAGCTATTCCGTACACCGTACTCCGGATAGTAAGGCTATTGATAGACTTCGGGAATCAGCCCAGTACTACGTAGAGATCGACGGTCAACCAAAGGTTACGGAACTGATATCGTTTGACGAATCCTTAGCTCAAAGTATGCCCCTCCCACTGCGCTATACCATCGGTGTAGTGAATAGCGCAAGCAAAAGGGCAGATCAGCTCAGGAAGAGAGTCAGTGTAACACGTCCTTGGCTCGAGAATATAACAGGGTCGAATGATGGCACAAAACTCATCTCCGACACGCCAGAATCTGCCCGAAAACAGTGGTTGCCCCGGTAGTGTCAAGGCCGTGGACTGGAATGACAGCGGCGTAAGGAAGTGCGCTAGACCCACTCCACGGGGTGGAGATGCCAGATGAGCAACGTAATGCCTGAAACCGGAGATCCTTGACCTAGTATGGTAATACCTGAATTCTAAAAGGGAACCATGTGGACTTGTTCACACGATCTAGAGATGGCTGGGCTGAGAGCGAGGGAAAAGTCATGAGTGGTACTCGAGTTCTTGAGTTCGGATGGTACCTACATAGCTTTCTGGCTTTCGTCGTGATATTTATTGTTGCACAAAGTAGTCATGTTGAAGGTTTCAAACATGTGAGTGTTTTGGTTACTGGTTTTTTAGCTAGCTTCTTCCAGAAGAAGGGCTCAGGGACGAGATCTAAAACCCGTAGATTCACGGTCTTCACCAGCAAGTGATATTTCTAGCTTCTATAGGTAGGGTTTAAGGGGATATAAGGTATAACTAACACGCGACACTCGGTTGTCTGAGCGTAGAAATCGATAGACTGCTATCAGTTGTAGTGCTAATTCAGGTACTTCGTTCATGGATTCGTTCTTGTAGACGTTTTAGGTACCTGAGGCGCAAGCTGCCGGCGATTTCGTTGCTATAATCATTAGCGTTATTAATATGGGCAACGATACACGAAGTCTCAGTCTGATTGCTTCTATGACGATATAAAAACTTTTCCTGAACAGATCGGGTTATATACAGGGGATTTATATATAGGGGACCGTTGCTACCACCCCCCTTTGCATGCTACCACCCCCCCCTGCCTGAATTGTGAGGCCAATATTTTTCTGCCGGACATATTTCTGCCACCATCGACCATGCTTCTAACACAAACTTGAGGTACTTACATTTACTATGCAACCTCCTAATTAAATGAAGTCACTTTCGTACTCTACTACCTACCATGTCAACTGCATGGCGCTAGTCCCAAATAGGAAATAGATGCTGTTTTCAAAAACTCTGCAGAAATGAAAGAATCAAGCTATTCTGGGTTAAATTTCTTGAAGAATCGCATGAGAATTGTAAAAAAAAAACTTGAGTAATTTGCATTAGATCAGCCATTTATAGAGCTTCCTGACGTTTCCTAAGGCGGTCGGGCCAGGAATCCTCGCGCTGGACCGTACATAAAGCTATTCCTGCCCCCTACGATACCTGTAGTGTCTTTTTACGTCCTCGGCCGCGCCCACGGCCCCGTCCACCTTCCTGAGAAGCTTGTTGAGCTTTCTGGGCCGTAGATGAAGCTATTCTCACCCCCTGCAATGCCTGTTGTATCCCTTTACGTTCTCGGCCGCGCTCACGGCCACGACTACCTTCCTGAGATAGCATGAGCTCGAAGCCGGAAGGGTCTCGCTGGATAAAGGTATCTTGGATACTTGTTTGAATGTTTTCGCTGCTACCGATGAAGTTTCTAGCGCCTCGGGGGCGCCCTCGCCGGCGCACTTAGAGAGGATCCTGAAATAGGAGTAACGGGTTAATAGAAGGTACAAATACACTGTACAAATGCCAATGTTAATAAAATAACTTAAGCTTAAAGCTCTTTTCCTCTTCTTCGTACTGCATAATAAGATGAATGCATGGAAACCCTGCCGTATTCTTCGAATTGCAGGTACATAATAGAGGAATCGGTTGTTTATCTTCAGCTTCCGGTAAGAAACGGTTGTAAACATTTTTCGTATATTCAATAGCCTTAGCCGAAACCCGTCCAAAAACAAGCTTAAAGAGCTGCTTCCAGCGAGTATTAGTAGGCCTTTTTATCTTATCACTCTCGATCGCGTCGGTGAGCTTTTTGAATTGAAGATTTATAGCATTCTCAAAGGTACGGAAAACAACCAGTAAATCATTAGTAGAGACTTAAAGGTCCTGTTTAAGTAGCTAGTGAGCTCCTTCGGTCCGAGAGGTCGCGATTTCATTGAGATAAAGGTATTTTGACGTGTATTCATGGAGAAAGTACATAGGACAGCTATTCAGTTACTCCTTCTGTAAATATTCGAGTAAAGGCTCGAAAATTGGCTCCTTATAGCTTTCTTTGAATTGCCTCTATCTTTTCTCCCTTTCCTCAGTCGTAATAGTATAGATAATGCGAATCTATCGCTGTAGCATCTTCTCCTATACTTTATTAACCAATTCGCAGAGCTCTCAGTCTATCTCTGCTTTTGTCTGACGCTGTAAGGAAGCTAAAGAAGCGGAAAAAACGGAAAAAGCATTAGTTAATGTTTTTTACCGAACTTTTGCTAGTTGCTCTGCGAGTATCGGACGGCTTTTCTTTATAATATTTATATTGATATACTATAGACAAATTATATACTTTATAGAAGAAAAGATAAGCTTAATAGCATTTATCAGTGTTTTTTCCTTACCCGTAAGAATCGTCTGGAGTAGCTTAAGGCTAAGAGATTCGAATGCTTCAGCAAGACAGCTTAAAATAACTTAATAGCTATCTTTCTTTTTATCTTTTATGAAGGCGAAGCCGACATAAAAGCTAGATCCAGTAGCGGTAAAGCCGACGATATTAAACAATGGAAAGCCGTATCGGTTAGTTTTATACGTACAATCCATTGAAATAACTTATAAATTTGTTCTAAGCATCGCGATACTCGATCTATGCATATAGAACAAGGCTATTACATAGTTCTTATCGTCTATTTTATGCTTGAAGATCCATTCGCCATCGCGCGGAAGCTCTATCAATAGAGCTTGAAGAAACGTACGGCCGGCAAGGAACTCTGTATAAAACCTTTTCCGTAGGTTATAGATATCTTGGGCGGTAATAGATGAGTCTCGATTTTCCTTTCGAAACGCAGTAAGAATATAGCAAATTAAAAGACCCTAATTAAGCTGTTTCCGAATGTCTTTCGCTTTATTAGATACTTCCGCGATGCGATAGGCTACATGGGTTGATACCGGCGAGACTTTATAGTTATAGGTAGAGTTCTCTACTGTAAGACGCCAAATATTGCTCTCTTGTAACCGTAGGGAGATCGAGAATTGGCACTCAATCGTGAGCGTATTTGACTGCCGCTGGCATTTATTACCGGCAGTCCGATCTCGATACGCTCGTCCTCGATTACAGCATAACCGGACTGTTTTCATGACTCCTTTTTTTGTACGTTTTGACCGAAGAATCGAGACTGCGTAACTATGAGAACAGGCGAAAGCATTGATTGCAGTAATTTCTTGCTCTGGCGTATCGTACTGTTGATCGAGAGAGGGTAGCAGGAAGGTATAGAAGCTTAATATCGGCGGCAAGGACTCGGGAATAGCGTCAGGAAGGCTTGACGGCGCGTTATAGAAGCTTAGTATCGTATTTTGATGGCTTGGTATCGTCGGCAGGGACTCGGGAATAGCATCAGGCTCAAAATCGGACGGCAAATCAGGCTGCGAAAAAACCATCGTAAAGGAAAGTGAAATGTGAGAGAAATGGGTAAAAACCGCGAGTTATAAGTAGAAAAATGAGAGATTTGAAGGCGTAAACAACAATTTTTTTGAATTCCTTATTGGGTACTACAGTGGAACAGGAGTGACTTATTTTTACTAGGAATTTACATAGTAATCGGAGGTACCTAATGTGTGATATACATGCAGGGTAGTAGGTAGCAATAAATAAAAGTTCGAGGATGAAAGCGGTGAGAAAAGCGGTCAGTATTGGCCTCGAAATTCAGGCAGGGGGGGGTGGTAGCATGCAAAGGGGGGTGGTAGCAACGGTCCCCTATATATATATGAGGTCAAAATGAAGAACTACAACTTTTCGCCTCTTCCTCCTCGCCTACTCTTCCGAAGGCTTGATGTCATACTCTACGTCACTCCGAATGATATATTTTGCACCCTTCGTAACACTCGTCCCCTCGTGCAGCAACGCCCCATTGGATTCTCCGTGCGGGAACAGCGCAACGGCTCCCATCACCGGCCGCAGGGGGTACGCGTTCAGAACGCCCTCCCGGACGCCAGGTATGAAGAACGTCGTCTCGCCGCCCTCAAACTCGTCGTTGAGGTAGAGCAAAAAGGTGTACATTGAACTTTGCTTCTGGTCTTCGGGCGAGGCATCGTACACATAAGTGTCGTCGGGGAGGATGCCGGATGGCGGCCAGGCTCCGTCTATGTGACACCGGTACTCGGCGCCGGGGACGTATCGGTATACACGGAAGCGACGATTCAGGCCGCGAGCTTTACGACCGTTGATCACGGGTGGTACGTGAGGGGCGATTCTCGACCACAGCAGGTCGTGGAATGGGATGTCGACAACCCAGTAGAAGTTGTGGGCGAGAATGCTCATGTCGCCGTCTCCGCGGAAGGGTGCGTCAGGGAGGAAGTTGACCGATTCACCAGCAGCGATTATAGACTTGCACTCGTCGGTCGAGAGGATGTCTGTGGCGAGGCCGAGGCCGGGCACTGCCGGATGGGGGTGGTAGGTCGCGGATGGGCCATTGGCGGCCAGCGGGACCGCGTTCGGGGCGGTTGTGTACAGGATCGCGGGGTGGTGATTCGGAGGTTTACGGAGAGGGCCGGGGGTTTCTTCAATGATGCGGAGGGCGGAGGGAGACTTCGGTGCGTGGGCGAGAATGGATTTATCAAGGACTGAGGCGTATATAGGAAGGGATTCTGTCGAGGGCCGGAGATCCCATACATTCTGGAAGGCGATGGGAGAGGAGGGTGAATCGATGGCATTCGGGTTCGTATCAATCGGGGTGCTGACGCGCAGGACGGCATCAAGGACGCTGAGGAGTTGCAAGTCCCTTGGGCTGCGCTGCGGAGGAAGATGGAGAGCACCGGGCTTCTTCGAGAGGCCGCTGACGACGTCCAGATCTCGAACCCAGCGACACAAGGCTCCAATCTTGGGTTGTTCTCTTCGGATTCGCAGTTCAGCGAGCAGGATCTTGGCTTCGGTGTATTGTTCGTCGGCTAGGGCGCCAGTTATTCGTGCAGTCAAATTGGCGCCTTCGGCTGCGTTTGCGCCGGTGTTGCAGGCCTGACGGAAGTCGTACACTGCAACTCGGAGGTCTTTGCATGCCTTCGACTTGGTCAAGCTGGGGTGTTGCGTGAGGGCTGCGAGCGTTTCGATGGTGACTTCAAGCTCCTCGTCTGCGACGATTGTGTTGAGGTGTTTGGGGTCGAGTGTCGTGACATCGGGGAGAGGAGTGGGAGTAGAGACGACTTTGGTCAGTTTGAGAGGAAGATTAGTTTGCTCGTTGCGCTTGCGCTTTGCTGATTTCGACTTGGCCATTGTGAATTGAGGTTGATTGATACTGACAGGCACAAATTGTGGGGAGCGGAAAGTTTTGGAGTTTGTGGTCTTATTTAATTATCTACGGACCGGCTATCGCCACGCTCTTCTGATCCTGCCACACCAGGTGTTCCAGTCAATAGAGGACTACTAAGTCTGCTATAGGCCAATGTGGCGGTAGCACAACCTGCGGGAGCGTGGCGATAGGAGCCTCCTTATCTCCCGCATCTTGGCGAACATCTCTACTAAGGAAAAAATGTTAACTAGCCAAATAACATCATCTCTAACTTATCATAACCAGTTCAATTTTCGAAAGTTCATACAGTTAAAAATCGTGGAAGTAACCATACATGAGTCAATACTTCCTTTATTGATTTCTTCGATATCTAAGAAACAATACTGCAGTGTTCTAGTTCATCCGAACCGACCGAAGACATCCCGGAAGTCATCCCTTGATAAGCGTCACATTTGAATAATTATACAGAGCTGAATGCTTTCATGAAACCTAAATATAGCCTTAAATCTTCTTTCTCTCCCACACATATAGCCCTATCATGGATATTGTCGAGGATTTTCCTTATATAATGGGAAAATCACTCTGCATAACATCACATATTGCTCCTGCGCCAACGCCAACGCCACTTGCAACAAATTACTGTCATAATGGCCCGACTGGGAGAGAGGAACGGGGCCGGCTGACTCCGTTGGAAAGATGTCTGAGAAACCCACCTCTTCCTGGAGATACCGGGTCACAATCTACAACCCTAAAAATACTTGCTCCTCTCGAAGTTGGCGATTACCACAACGCACAAGTTTTCGTCGCCGAAAGGCAGGACGCTGACGCTGCTAACAACCAAAAGAAGAAGGTTGTGGCCAAGGTGTACAACCCTCTCTACTTTGACGACCTGGGCGGTTATCTTAATCCTTTTCGATGTGTGGACAAACACTATACCCATGAGGTGCATACCTATGCCTTACTTGCCCATCTTCAAGGAACCCTTATCCCAACGTTCTATGGGTCATTTTCGCTCGAAATCCCGGTGCCAGGGCCAGCGACCCGCGTTGTGCGATTGATTTTGATTGAATACATTCCTGGAATATGTATGCTTCAGGCTCATCCAGAAGAATACCCTTTGCACAGCCGCCAGGAAATCATAAAATGGATTATTGACTTTGAAAGCCGAGTTTTTCAACTTGACATTGTCCTCACCGATCTGTGTCCAAGAAATTTGATGCTACTTGACCCGTCTGATCACCCACAAAGGATGATTGTCTTCCTCGACTTTGGAGGCGCAGTCTAAATGAGTCTATAGCAGACGACTCGAATCCGCTCCTTGGTCAATATATAAGCCCTCCTCTACGATGGACTTCATCTATGGCGCATTCTTTCAGTGACTGGATTGACTGGGAATTTAGGCCATGGATTGAAGGCAAATATGCTCGTGAAGCTGCGTCTATCATGCAGGGAATAAAGGATGAGTACAGTTCATACCCTCTTGATTGAGGTAAAGTCTCCGGAGTTGAGTCGGGAGTGAGTTTCAAGTCACTTAAAGACAAGAATAGAAAATATCTACTTTGCATATCAATATTAATTGAGGTAGAGCAAATACTGCGCGTTCCAGACCTCTGATATGGCCGATTTGAACTAGACTATTTATATATCACCAATATTGCAGCACCATCAGTTGTCTCATAAGAAACAAAATAAAACTCGATCCCTACCGACTGCAGGCGGGTATGACAATGTCTCGCTCTCTCTCTATAGCTTTCATCGAAATATTCTATCTCTAGATGCAGAGCTTAAAAAGCAAAAACATACAACAGCCGGGATTCGCTGGTGGTCATCCATTCAACTACTAACCAGCCAGCCTGTGGCTTAAACGCGGTTAATAATTAGGTAAATATCTTTATATTAATATCAGTAGTAATTATCGACAATACCTAATAAATCTTTTAAATATATTTAACTAGATAAAAGTTAAAAATAATATTTGGTAATCAATATAATTAGTTCATTTTACCATTTCTTTCTTCGCAGAGAAACTTCCTAGTCCCAATACCCTTTCCTCAGTAAATCGCTGCCCTAAGTCCTGCAAGCATACAGGAGCGTCCTTGTAGAACTCCGGAGTGTCTAGGTAGAAGAGTCTCGTTAGCACATCCGATAATCTCAACACGCCATGAGAAAACGTACACTTATCCCGATTCCGCTGATCGAAATCGGACATTGGGTGGAATACGCCATCGGGCTTTAGATCGAGCTTGGGGTCAACATGAGTGACTAGCACGGTTGCACAAGTCCACTCCAACAAGTTAGAGATTGCCTCGTACGTGAAATACTCTATCCTCCCATGAGGCGGCGCAACGTGTCCCCCCGACGGTAAAATTATAGCATCAACTGGATCCCTTGCATGAGTACGAGACCTTGTCCCCTGCAACAGGTCAAGGTGCTTTTGTCGAATGCGCTTGGCCTCCTGATAACATTCCTGATATTCCCGCACAGAAAGCCTCGCCGTTGTGTAACTAATTAGGGCAAACATGGCGGACAGGCCCTGGCCACAAGGTGAAACGGGATTATCCGTGCTGTTATAGATATCATGGTCCTCTATATTAGAAGGAAATTCCTGATCGATGTTTTTTTTATCAAAAGTGCGTGGCCTGCCAAAAGCCAGATTGAGATAATCATTGAGACTGAAGGTGCTCTAAAAGGTTCTGTGACGGCACTAGACATCTATCCGACTTATGGAGTTAGAGAAGGTGTGTTGATTTTGATGTTGATTGAGGACAAAAATAAGACGAGTTATAGTTCTGAAAAGACTCTAACAGTGGCTGATACCTAACTGTGATAGAAACTCAAGGCATTGACAAAGATAAACTTGAATATTTTGTTCCTTGTTCTTTAGACATGTGGTGGTTGGCTGCCCGAAAGAATCAAACACTGGAGCGTCCTCTTAGCAAAAGGGTGGGAAGGCCGATGCCCCCGCTGGAGACGAACTAGGAATCGAATGTTCCTGTGCGATAGCAAAGACAATGAAGAGCACAGCCTTTTGGGCTGGTACCGCATTTCTATCGTGCATTACGTCTTTGGTCTCGTAGAACTCGTCGAACCACTGCGATGGTTGGTCGATGCAAAAATCGGTCCACAGGGACAGCAAAGTCAGTGTCATCTCGGTTTAGCAGCAGAGAGAACGTCGAGTCCGGAGGGTCCCGGCGCCTTTTCCCAAGTTCTTACATGCGAGTAAGCCGCAGATTGATGAAAAAGGAGGCATCATGAGTTACATCTAGCTGCAACTGCGGCGTGGTCCAACTCGATAAGAAATGCACCAGATTGGGCCATCTAAGCCCCTTGTTTGACGGCAGCATCTTTATGTGTAGCCATGACCTTCTTACTGCTGACTTGCTATTTATGGCTCAAAGATTTTTCTTATAAACTGTCTCCAGAGTGTTAATTGTGGTACTCATCACAGCCACGACAGGTACTACCTATAACAGTCACCCACTGAAAGTGCACCTAGTACCAAGTTGATTGGAAAGCGCCAAGCAAGACACAATGACTTGCTCAAACAACTCTCACCCCCCGCCCCCCTGCAGCAACGGCATCTGGTTTAACAGCCTCGCATTTCCAACTGGACCACCATATGACTCTCTACCCGAAGCACAAAGAACTACCCGATGGATACCGACGTGATTGGTCTAGATTACAACCCCAAAGGATGGAAATGTAGCCCAAGGGATATGGTTTAGTTATTTCGGGGTCTGGGAGTTATAGAACCTTGGTAGCTGCTGGATTAGAGAAAAAGCAACTTTCATGTTGTTGGTTATGTACTATCGAGTGGTATAGCTAAATCTAAGATCGATGTGTGTATTCTCTATGAGGTTCCATTTAACTACGTATATTGAGCATGTGAGTTCGAACATAGGTGCAAAGCAAGGCCTTTTCTCTAAGTTAATGCCATAATGTTTGCTGGGTAGTCCTTCAGCCAAGGACCCCAAACCAACAAGATAATGGCGCATAAGTGGAGATCCGAGCGTCCCGAGAGGTGTTGCATAGCCTCCAAATAACATCTACACGCCAAGGCCCAATATGGAGGTGCGCAGTAAGTTGGAGCACAGAGCACACGTTTGGCTCACGGGGGAAGTATATCAGGAATCAGATGTAATCCAGAATCATGTGCTCAGGACTCAGACAGATATAAATACCATGAGCTTCTGTTCATCAAAGCCTTCATTCTCCCATTCTCCCATTCTCCCATTCTCCCATTCTCTCATCAACAATAACCATCGCTTTTCTCTAAGATCACCCCCTTACAGAACGAATTCTACACTGCCTTCTCTGCATCTCAGGATGCATCTCTTCAATTTTATTCTTGCCTTGATGGCAACGTTTTCGATGGTCATGGCCGCCCCTGTTGAGCAGGACAGTGCTATCCAGGGCTATGCCTCCCCCGATGACGGCGAGATTGTGGCCCGAGAGGTTGACATCGAGGAGCCTGAAACTGAGAGTTTCAGCACCTTGGGATGTCCCAATGGATGGAGATACTGTGGAGTATGTTCAGTCTCTCTGTCTGTGACTGTACCTCTGAGATTTACTAAATAAACGCTGTTCAAATAGAGATGCAATGGAACCAGGTGTAAAGTGGGGGGAACTAACTAGTAAGACCTTCATTCTATCATTATTTTATCTTTTGCATGTTAACTAAAACAATCAACAGCAATTGCAAAGATGGCACTAGCGTATGAATCACTGAGTTCCCTTTCTAAGACACCGTGATTAATCAATCTGATTCTAGTGCACAAAGCAGAGTGGAGGTGGGGATGGGAAACTTTGCGGTTCAAATTATTTAATTGAGGATAAGGTTTGTCCTGGAAAGAAGAGGTCTTGAGTGGGCTCAGGCTGCAGCGCTTGTTGTGTATGGAAAGTAAAGGTTTGCAGTGCTTGTTGTGTGTGTGTGGAAAGTAAATGTTGGTGATTTGAGTTGATTATCTGTATGGACATCATTTCAACAATGTGCCCTACCTTTTTGTGGTTGTCTGGTTTATTCAGCTAGCTGAAATCTACGTCTGTCCTTAAGTCTATCCACCGAATTTGAAGACAGATAAACCGCGAGGAAACGATACCGACTGTCCGAAACGGGTCTAAACTCGGGAGAGAAATGAGATGCCGGGCGAGGGACCTACATAGTGACCTTCAAGGTCCATCTGTATCGGCTGAGGCGAAGCGCGAGAGGTGGGTTCGGCAAGCGGTATTGATTCATCCTGCTGAGCAGCAAAGCCCCGTGGCAGTTCAAAAGCCCCTGGATTATTGGCGGTGGAATCGTTTATACGATGATGTTGGTTTTCGTTATCATTCAAGTGACTCTTCGGTTAACTTTCTGCTTGGGAAGACGGCAGGTTTACAGCCAGCTTAGGCGAAGACCCAACGCGTGTAGCTCGAATGGTTGGCCGTCTCCCTCTGGTGTACGAAGCGTTGTAGGAGCAGTTCGCGGATGCCAAAAGGCAGAATTCGCATGGCTGATGGCCATTGCATCGAAGCTTCCTTCTGCAATCGACTCCGGTCAATATGACAGAACAAGTCGAATAGTGACTGTGGTCCGGTCGCAGGCACGCGTGACACGCACGCGACTAGATATTCGAGGCCATCGTTCCGACGAATTAGGGGTGGTAGATAAGGTAACACTGTCCTGGATTGCAGCAGACTCCATGTCGCAAGCGGTCGTCTCGCGATGGTTCTGTCACTGGGGTGAGGTTGGAGTAGTTGGAGACGTGCAGTAATTGGGAACTTGACATGCGTTCGCTCAGGGACTAGGAAAGCTAGTCTACTAGTCTCCTTTTTAACTGCGGGGATTTTCCCGGGGAAATCAAACTACATTTACGCATATGTATACCCCTGACTCTAGATTTGGTTAAATGTATTTGTCGGGATATAGCCTTCTGTCTGAACAAGCTAGCGGTAACTTACTGCTGGCAACGGACAGATATCATCCCTTGCTTGGGGAACGCATTCTTGCACCAGGCTGCGGCTGCGGTGTTGTGACCGCCGAGGGCCGGCGTATAGGATCCAGGGGTAACTCCTAACTAGACTGAACACCTACATCTATCTACATGAATCAAAATTGACCTTTGCTTACGAGCATACATACTGTTCACTTAACTGTGTACACAGGACCTAGCTGGTGATACCAACAGTATTCGATATTATTGAATCCCCGCGAATTTCTGCCAGTCCAGACTCCAGGAGAACAAAAATTGTAGGAAAAGTAAATAAAGTGATAATTCCTACTTCCGTATACTACAAACAAAAGATGCAGCGAGATACTATTCCATGAGATGACATATCTATATCATCAAATCCGCCTATAAACAGATAGCAATATCCACCACAGTAGAGAGAGAGTCAAAAGCACACAAGCTGTCAAACGCCTGACCACTGGAGTCAAACATGACATTTTTCTCGCAAGAAGACCCCAAACCAGCATTATCGATCCACACGGGCTCCCAGTAGTTAAGACCAGTTGCATTCGGCATCGCCTTGAGTGTAGAAGCCAGACGCTGGAGATACTCAATCTGACCCGCCGAGTTTAATGGAATATCGAGCTGATCTTCAGGGAACGGATACTCCGGGTTGGTGCACTCTGTCGGCCCGTTTCTCTCCACAGCCTGTACTTCTTTATTATATTTCGTTGGCAGGCTCGTGAGACTCGTATTCAACGCGTCCATCGTGGCACCTTCGCCCCAGAAGCGGTAGAGCAAGACGGGGATGACATACCAGTCGTCCACAGACAGAAGACCAGTGTCCAAAACCAGGTCGTAGAACCAATTTTGTAGTTCAACGTCGTATCCATGGGCAAGATGGGTCACGACCTTTGTCCGACCTCCCAGTGATGAGTCTCGAACGGCCTTGGCAGCGGTGTGTAGAAGTCAGGCAAGGTTCTCGGGGGTTTCAAAGTATCCGGTTGGCCAGAGAAAGCTCGATGGGATCTTGTTCCCGATGGTGATTGTCTCGGGATAAAGACCTTCTGCGGCAAAAGTCTCACATACTTCGGCTACTGGGGGGGTCAGTTGAGGTCGAATGGAAGGTAATGAATGGGTGTGCATCGATCGGGCTTTAATCCCCTCTTCGATGGCGAGTATCTTTGACCTGGATAGAAGGATCGCTCCGAATACGCCTGATGGGCGTTTCATGTTCATTTCGAGATTTTCTCTCCATGCAACCAAAAAATTGAAAAGGACAGGAAAACTAAAACATACAACAGCAGGGATTCGCTGGTGGTCACCCACCCAACTACTAACCTGCCGGCGTGTGGCTTAAGTACGGCTGAGCGGACGGGAAGCCCTGTTCTCCACACCCTGTGGTCGTATGTACCAGATGCTCCATAGATATGGAATGTATAGGACTAACTGAAAGTGGAAAGACCCATACATCAGGACAAGCTTGCACAGAAAGGGTGATGGAGGGATTCGATATGACGCTGATGGAGTTTTCAAATACCCGAATAAGTCCATATTCATATTCTTGAACTTTGCTGTTGACTTTAGAGGACACCCATACCGATGAAAAAGGGAAAGGAAACAGCAGTGAATCAATCGCCCCCTTGTTTATAAGAACTGTATGTACTAATCCAATCGCTTCAAATCAGGGCTTTTATGATCTCCAGGTTTTGTTTCTCTATAGCGTCATGTAGTGCTCTGTCGTGTTTTGTTATCTTGGTCGGCATTGGTGGTTCTTTGAATTCAGTGCGAAATTTAAGTATTATTAGTACTTACGGTTGAGAGTTTTAATCTAGAATGTCACAGGTTGTGCTATGTATTACTTGGCTGGAATAAACAAATCCACACCACAGATGTTAGAGATATGACTACCTAGCTGATATTGTCATTTCCAAATTTTCCACCATCATCACCCTAGACACAACTGATAGACGTCTAAGCGTGGCACAATCCCTAGGGACTCGGACTCCCCTCATAATTTGATCCAAACCCACTTTTCTCAGTAATTATATATCCACTAACAAAAGGCGAGTCTCCGTTGGCCCGATCATAGAGAATTAGGGCATAGCTGTTGGCCCTGTGGCTGTTGTAGGCCCAGTTCATGAAGTTGAAAGACAGCTCGTATAGCCCATGCATCCAAGTCTAGTCGTACTGGCTCTTGTAGTCACCACATACATTTACATAAGAGTACTTGAGCCCGGCCAATTCTCCGAAGTTCCAGGTATAAGTGGTTCTCTTAGTAAGGTCCTTTTGTTCGGGCAGACGATACTTTCCAACGACGTCATGGGTCACATTGTTAGCGTGGATATAGAGGTGGCCTTCGTGATGCTTAACCACAGCTGCATTGCCCTCGAGCCCAAAGTGCGTTATGTTGCCTCCAGTGAGAACCATATCTCTGGGGAGGTGGTGACCCAGATGCTCGTAGAAGTTGTTCGCGCTCTCGTCGATAGAGGCCCAATTCCACATAGGTTGGAAGTCATTCTCGCGGACCCACAACGTTTGGCCTTGGTTCGCGATATATTCGGCTGCGGCACCGGTTCGTGAAGTTGATTCTCCGATGGCCATGGCTGCTCCGAACATGTATGTGAGAGCATCACCAGCACACTGGAGGTACTTGAGCTTTTTCTCGCCTTCTTTGACGTTGCAGTCTTCAACAATTGAAGCGATGTATCCATTACCCACAAAGTGTTGGTAGGCGTATAAACGCGCAGCGCCGTAGTAGATTTGGCTGAAGCTTGGTAAACAGCATGCTGTCATGGCAAATATTGCCACTGCTATGAAGGCTCGCTTGGACATATTTGCAATCATCTTACCGAATTAACACGGAGTAAGTCGAGAAATTAGAAACATGCGGCATTACCTCCAATTGAGCGTGGAATGATTATGTTCCTGACGCTGAAAGTTGGACCGAAAGTTGGATTTCAGAGGTTTCTTGTACTTTTTACTTTGACCTTGTTGCTCAGCCAACTTAGGTAAGTGTTGGAACCATTATTCAGCTGATATGCCTAAGTCATGTGACTCCTTGGCATAGGCAGCTATTATATCTTCAACTTAGCGAGTACTTTAGAATAACACTTCACTTTTACCTACCGAGCATATACCTACATTCCGTTGAATCGATAGGATATCTGCTTAGGGCAATGACCAAGTCAACCGACAGTAAGTATACGGAAATTATCCGACAATTCTCGACCCTGAAGCCTTACTCACATATAATGCATACCTTATGTTGGAAGATATCTTATACTCTAGCGGGCCTAGAAAGCCATCAAACAGAGTCTGATTATCCATGCAGCGGTCCCACGTACAATTGAGATAGTCTGAGATGAAACCAAGGATTGGACAGCAACGCGACATATTCTAAGTCCTTTGATATACCCCCTGAGCCAAATGATCTGGATGAAACACATGAACAACAACTCTTACATCAAACAAGTTCTTGGTTTCCCTCGTTGACCCAGCAAGGACTGACGAAGTCCTGCATATTTTTAACAGCACGAAGTTTCTGCCCGAAAGAGGAAATGTCAAGCAATTTATTGTGTTTCCCAACGCTTGATCTCTACCGGACTCGCTGGATTTCGAAGGCGGAAATCCCTGGGGCCAAATGCGGTTCTACAACTCCACAAGAAGCTTTGCCATTGACTTGGCCCCCAAATTAAGAACTCAATGTCTTACTTCGACGACGAATCAAATGTTAGCAAGGAATACTGATGCCATGGCTCATATGAATTTTTTTTTTTTTTTTCTCCACTGGCTCTAGTATAGAATTTTAGACTATAGATCGCTTTCTAAGGTTCGGGTTCATTTCGGTTCCGCTGCAGGGCAAGACATGTGGGTCCATCCAGTTTTTCTCGCAACCTTAAGCTTCTGGTAGAGGCGACCATGCAGCTGCTTTTTCCTATAATGGAAAGGTTTAAGAGAAGATAAGCCTTACAAGCTTTCTACAAATGATATTTCCCGAGGTGGAAACAAAACTCCCTTCTACTTCTTCGCTGCATTCGTTTATTCGCGCTGGACGTGCTCATCGCACCTCTATTTTGCAAAAATAACTATAAGCCATCTGAACGAGGTATATTTTTTCCTTCTTTTCTTGAGGAAATCAGTAAATAATTTTGCTCAGAGATCAACACACAACAGCTTCAACGATGACGCCGGTACTCCTCACTGCAACTGCAATTCTTGCGCTGCTCTATTATCTTATCACCAGCCAATATGCCCTTGTTGTCCGGTTTTTCCTATACCAAATAATTTATGGACAATGGGCTTTGGATCGAATTGTCAATTTATGCAGTGCCCAACCGGAATCGGCAAATCGGTTCCAATGTCTAACAGAGACATTCACATATGTATTGGGGGTAACACTGGTGATTGGAGCAACAGGGGCTCGAGTTAATGCTTTGATCCGAGGTCTGAGATGTAATTTTTGGCCACGGGAAGTAGTTGGACAATGATCGGATGGTTCGAATTTTCTTCATATAAACAATGTTCTTTCCTTTATTTTACACTGGTGACGGGATTATGGATATGTCACTATGTATATTTCTTTCTTTCTTTTGGTGATGGTGATTTCGGATGTACCGAAATCACCTGTTCCCTGAAAGATCTCAATGACAATTATCTAAAAGGCTTCATCTTAGGTGCTCGCTGTTAACCCTGGGCTGGTAGAGAATATCACATCTACGGTTGATCAGTTCCAATTTTCAGAGCCTTAGGTATATAAATTAGCCTCCTCGGCGATTTCCGCGCCGCATGACTTCTATTGACTTGTTTTAAGATTCTAGGAACTGTGAAAATGCGGTCGGTGTACCCTGTGTGATTTTCAAGTTTACTTTGCAAACTTCCAGTATATCATCAACTTGCTTGGCAATTTAGATAGACAATCATGAGCCTAGAAGAGATACTAAAGACTACTCACGGCCTACAAAGGTTTATGTAAAGTAAATGGAAAGAGAATGCTGTCTTATCCGCTCCTATGTGAAGAATGCAGACTTCTTGGTACTAGTTAGAATTATTTCTTCATTATGTTCACATATGTTCAGCAGAAAATACCACGCACTTTGGATGTTACAGGTGCGGCATCATTCCATGAGATTATTGGTTTACTTTAGCCGGTTTAGCAATAATAGATAATTCCGCTTTAGGCAAGGTGGCCGAGTGGTTAAGGCGCTAGTTTTAGGTTCTCTAATCACTAGTTTCATTGATTCATGGGTTCGAATCCCATCCTTGTCAGCACATTCCTTTTTTTTTCTTTCTGTAATTCCTGATTGTCCTTTTTTTGCCTGGTGACTGTGTGCTGGTCTCCTCTTAATCTTTTATGTAGCTCTTTTTCTTCTGTTTATTCAATTCCCCCCGGACCGGTAGAATTTCAAGGAAAACACTGCACACACGTATGTATATATTCGGGGTAGTCCTAGCTGGCAATGCATTGTTGGCTAAATCGCCAACCTACTTTTCATAATATATTTCCAGCTAAGTTCATAAGGCCCACATTTATTTGACAATTTCAGGATCTTAGTGCTTACCATTGGCCATCAGAGACTGCTTTTAGCAACCTAACCGACGTGTTCGTCTATGCAGACCGATGTATCGGTGTGGCTCGGCATCTTTTCGGTCAAAGATAATTCGGTAGACGCTCGGAATTCGCTCGGATAGCGTCATGCATGCCCAACCAACATCAAGCAAGCTCATTTGCCACGTGCTGAGATTAGATTTTGCACTTCTTCTATATATTCAGGTCATTTCTTCTCTGTCAAGTCTGTACTTGCTCTCAAGCATTCGGTCCACCTCTGTTTGCATTGACCTATATCGCATCCGTGAGACTACTATCCACATTCAAGGTAGGCCGCCCACCACAGCCGCTACAGACTTTCATCCACTAACAAAATAAGGCTGCGAACTAGAGACAATCGAAAAAATCCGGTCCACTTTTCTCAACACTCTCCCAGACATGGACCCTCCGAAGCACAGCGATATGAAGCTCTGCCTCATAGCAACCCATCATTCCGAACTCACCTCGTCGACATCGAAAGCCTCTTCAACGTCCCTGACGTCAAAGTTACGACATTTATTTGACCGCCATTTTCTTAAGAAAAAGTTCGAATCATGGGCATATCTCATGCCCGCCAAGAGTCATCTTAGTGCTGAGTACAACTTCCCTGCAGGCAGGTGGGCTGGGCAAGGCTCTGGATAGGTGCTTGACCGCACCAAGGAATTTAACTGAGGGGGTAATGATTATGGTAATGATTATGGTAATGATGTATACGCTAGTTGTTCAAAAGAACCTTTTTTTCTTCGGTCGAGAATGGTGTGCCTATAAAGAATGTATCATGTCAATTCTCTACTTCGAGTCTCTTCGTACTAGGCAACTATTTGGCACCGTCTATCCTGTGACCTGAGAATAGCCAGGTTCCATTTTTTAAGAATACCATGTGGAGAAAGAAACCAGTAACCTGTAAAATAAACTTCTCTGCCGAATTGTATTAAGGTACAGCTCGTCCCACCCGCCAGAATGACAGGCAACAATTATAGGAGACAGTCAAAGCTTGAAGGTAATACTGCCGGGTTGAAAAAAAAAGTCGAAAAAAAAGAAAAAATGAAGAATCAGTAACTCGGCAGCACGTCGCCCTAGATGCCTACTCCCCTGATTTCTTCCGATTGACCAAGGATTTCTCCAACCACTCCTTTCTCTCCTCATCACAGCCTTCAACACAGCATTCGAAATGACCGTCTGATTTTATTGCAAGCGTCGTACTCAATCCCTGCAACACCCTCACAATCTCCCTTCTCTGAATTTCTTGCGGACAGGACACATCAAAGATCAAATCTTTGATTCCATGACCTCGAGGGATAGCTCGAGATGCAGTCCACCATTTGTCGAAAAGGGGTGCGATGTTCGGACCCTCAGTGCCCCCGTTTTCCTCTACGCTTGTGAGTGAAGCACTCGCGACGGGGTTTAGTAAGACTAGCCGGAGTCTCCGCATGTGGCAGGCGATCTGTTCGTGGGTCTTGGCATTATGGAACACGGACTCTAGATGGTCGGGGTGAATAAAGACGAATGTGTATTCAGGCGAGAGATTTTTGATCGTCTGTGGTGGTATAACACTGGTGGGAGTTTCTTCGTTTGAGGGTTGATAGGTGCGGAGAGTTGGGACTCCCAGGTCATCTGTGGTGACGAGGATTTCTTGGCCCATGGTGACAAGGGACGGTCTCAAGTAGTATAATGTCTCAGATGGTATTCGAGATGGTTTTTGGGTTATGAATATCGATAGGGGAAAGAGATGTTGAGAGAGAGTTGCTGACGTTGAGATGGGGGAAGAGGCATCGGACAAAGCGACCTGAGGTCACATGGTCTGACTCAAACCCAAGGCTGCGGAATTCACCACGAGGGAACCTTCCCTATTGGATACGCCATTTCAAGGGTCCCAGGGTTTGAAAGCTGGTTTTAATAGAAATAAGTAAGCAAGTGTTACCTACTGACTATCATATTATCCAATCCCGGGATCAGCTGCAGAAACTCCCGCGGTCCCGCCATCACCTGTCAAGGGCCCGGATGATTTTGGGAGCTAACCCTCCGATGCCATATTTTATGGAAGCTAGGGCCACCCTATCTTAGAAAATAACTATGTTAAATTACATTGCAATGTCATACTATACATGTGCTGAATGCCACATTAGCATCATGATGTATTCTATGTGAAATAAGCCAAGCATGGGAAGCTTATGAACCAACCTCCATGCCTTGAGAAAGCCCTTGCTCAATCTCTCTTCATTCAAACAAAGTTAACTATTGGGCTGGCAAGCTGTTACTTGTCTTAAGGTTCAAAGCAATAGGCTATTCCAACTCAAATCGATTCAGAGAGAAAGAGGAAATGTTCTTCAAGCTTTGTATAATCGATATACTACACAACACCATTATCTTCATTAATACCTGTGTTTGAATGTGTATAGATGCATGTACACCACCACGCTTCACTTTCTTCCCATCATGTTGCTACACAGACCTCCTAACTAGCTGTCGAGGTCAGCGCCACATGTTGTAATCGTGTGTCATCAGCTCGTATTCAGAATGTTGCACAACATCGGAGATTAAATGACTTGCCGATTGATACTAAAGTCTTAAAGTGATCCGCATAAGTCGAATATTGACCGATATAAAGCGTTCTTAAACTGCCACATAACCCAAAATATCAAATAGCACAGACTTCTCTGAAGAACCTCCAGACAAATCATAACGGCCAGAATACCCTTCCAAATAACAGCAAAACCAATCAAAACCTCACAATGCATTTCAAAAGCTCTATTCTAGCAATAATATTCTCCCTCTTCGCCCTCACCAATGCAGTTACCCTGAACCAATTTACCCGGCCTCGCTGTGGTGGTCAAAAGGCCGTCTGTCGCAACATCGGCCAAAGGGTCTGCTGCGAGGCCGCCTCTCGCGTGTTCGCCTCAGCCAGCTGCACCGGCTGCACATCCACCGATTTTCACATAACCTGGAACAAAGTCGGGCGACTTTTCTGCGGAAAATCCGCAGCTGCTACCCACGGAGGCGGCTGCATCTCTGGCGGTTCAAACCTTCGAGGTCACTCTTGGTGCCGGCTCTGTGGTACTAGTACTAGTGGAGTTGAACTCCAAGCAGCGACTTGTACTTCGACAGCAGAGCCGGACGCCCTTGAGATTGGAAGCAAGTGGTTTACGGTCGATCGAACGGTCTCTGAAGATGACAGGAATGCTTTGTGGGCGCTGTGGGATAGTGAGGCAGATGATGCTAGTGTCCCGCAGAAGCTGCTAAGATATGAGATCGAGGCAGTGACGGACGATGAGATTGATGTGCATGTGCCTGGGGTCAATGCGAATGAGGAGCCAGGAAAACCGCAAGTTGTTCTGCCGGGGCCTGGATGCACCGAAGAGCACGCAGAGGAACTGTAGGGCTCCGTTGATGAGACTACCGAGGGAGGGTGTTGTCTTCTAGTCGGAAATGGGTTCGTAGTATATAGCATGCTAGCTATGCTAGAGCCATCGCACATTTTTGGTTCCTTGAGATCATGTGGATGTTAGAATTTGAAAATTGCAATCCACCCATGTGATAGTATGACTTTAGCAAATTTATAAACATACGGGTTGTAGTGGGTTCATTTAGCGGAAGCGCTGTTCATTTTAAATAGCTATATTTCAAAAAAGAAGAGTTTTGAATGAGTGATCCCCGGTTATATTAAAAAGTTAGCCATTTTTGAAGGATAAGAAAAATATTAAGACCATATATAGAAGGTTTAGATAACAGAATGATGAACACTCTATAATATTCTACAATTCTATAACAATGCAAGTCTAATCTCTCTCTAGTCTATTTGAAATGAAAGCAAATCAAAAGCCACATCCTTAATCGAAGATAGAAGCCTTCATCGAGTTCGTAAGATAAAGCTTGACATCTTTGGAATGCATCCACGCCTTGGTTGTGAGTGGAGTCGTGGAAATCAAGTCATTGTAATGCCAACATGAGAACCCAATGTCCGTGAAATGGACATTGATAGCAAAATCATATTCGATCAAATGCGTGTTAATATACGGCTTTTCATAGATTTGATCTTTGAAACTGGTCTCAAACATAGCGTCTGGGTTCGCCCAGAAATAGAGAGGATATAGGCCAGGCGTTAAAGTCCCTGAGTCGATTAGAAACTCCAGATTCTTAATACGAATATAATCCCGATCGGGCTTCCATTTCGCGCGATGATAATCGGTGAAGGTAGTATAGCCATTGCGGTCGACCCCATTAGTGAATGAAACGTTTGACGTTGATGGTTGCTTGAGGAGCATCTTTCTCCAACTAGCTTCCGGGCGTAGATATGTAATCTCTTTCTTAGTGGAATCAATTTTTCCCAATCTCGCAAAATTGTTGCCGAACCTGAAACGCGTATCTAGCCCCTTGCGGAGAAATTGATACCACATACGGTGGATAAGCGGATTGATTATACCTTCCTGGTCTAGTTTGGGCTTTCCACATGGAGTAAAGAATAGTGCCTCTTGGAGTCTTTTAGAGCGCGTGATTAAGTCACTCCAAAGGTAGCACACTCGCTTGGATATCAGTAGCGTGCGTGTATCCAGGTGCAGAAGAATTATTTCGAGGATCTCCGGGATAATCAAGGCCTTAGGTGTTTCCGGTTTTGCCAATATCCCTAGGACTGAAAGATATCTCCTCGTTCGTCTGGAGACGCCCCAATGCTTGATACTCAGCATTCCGGAGGAGATGAACGATCATGTGAAACCGAGCGGGGGTAAATAGCGCAACAAAAATGTCAAAATGAGACTCGAGAGATTGTCGATATATTGTAACTTGATGGCGTCTGAGTAATAATGAAATGAAAAGGTTTTCAGAGAACTCGGTGGGTGTCACCGATTCTACACATACAGCAAGAAGGGAACACTTACCAAGATGGCTGGAAACGAGAAGCAAGGGGAGGGCAAAGGGGAGGACAAGAAGCAGAGGGAAAGCAAGAGTCAAAAAAATCCGCCAAAGCCCACCAGTTACGACTCAGACCTTACGAAAAGATGGGCAGACATATCGCAAATTTCCTCAAGGGAGAAGAAGAGGCCGATCCAACTATAACGGAGGAACTGGAAAGGCAGTTGACCCGCATCTATACTGAGAAAGAAAAAGAGCCTGATAGAAAAATACCATTCAGCGACCTCACAATGAAACAACTGGCCAGTCATATGGGCGTCGTTCCTGGCAACCAAGACTTTGACTGGCAGGTCCAGATAGTCACCTAGCCATGGCTACTATGTAATTTCATCAACCTAAGCTCCAAGGTATTAGAGAAACTAATCGGAACAATAGCACGATTTCTTGCGATGTGGGAAGAGCATACAGATGGCTCCACGCTCAACGAGACTCGATGCCGTTCACGGCTCGATTTGATTCTCATTATCTTTCTAGATGAAGTGAAGCAATGCAGGTCGATTGGCTCCCAGGACTTGAAGATTCAACACGAAACGCCTTTGTCCGGTATAACTCCCGACAAAGCGCTTGGAGTTTCCGGTTATGCGGATTATACATTGTGGTTCAAAAACCACGACGATGCAATTACGCACGTCATAGTTATCGAGGCAAAGAAACAGAGTGAGTTTTCGCGCGGTATTCCCCAACTCTTGGGATACATGTGTAAGTGATCTGTGGTGTTTCTCTCTGGTAGGGGCGTATATCTGATTTACTGTAACACAAATAGGGGCCATTTTTAACGACAGAGAGAAAAGAAAGAAGGTCTCCAAGTCCATTTATGGGCTATTGAGCGATGGAAACCGATTTGAGTTTTTTCAACTCAATGAAAACCGTCGTCTAAGTAGTCAAAGTGCTTTCTTCCGGCAGTGTTGCTGATTTATCATAGTACACCTCTAAGATGCTTCAATGGGACTATGGTCCACGGGCCCAGGAGGAAATTGTCGGTTTACTTTTTCACATCTTTGACGAGGCAGCATTGCTGTCTCCGACCAGCTCACTCAAAAAAATGATCACCAACAGTCTTCCAGGTAGCTAGAGTAGAGCCATCTTCGAATTAGGGCATTCCCTACTCTTTCTGGCAAGGTCGAACCCTAACTCCGACGAATAATGCGCTTGAGCGCAACGAATTATGTGATTATAGAATCTAGATGCACCGAGCATGCCGCGACGTGGCACCTTGTGATCAACAATTTTCGGCGATTAATTCTGAGGGGTTGCACAGTTGCAGAGCTGTCAGAGTGAAGTTCCTCCAGAATGAGCGCGCCCTACGACGCCCTGCGCCCTTGGCTCCACTTTTCTTCTCGGCGTTTGCGCCTGGCTCAAATGCCAGATATATCCCGTAGCAAGTGTATTGATTATGATTTCCGCTCCCAATTAAGCTTTCATTATCCAAATCTACCGCCTTCGGTTTGTGTATCCATCCACGTAGGTATGATATCAACGATCTAAAGTCTACTAGATGATCGTGCTCGTCGTGTAAGAATGTGCGAGGAGATAAATACAGGTCAATGGAGTAACATAATTGCAGTAGCTGGTTTATACATGGTCAATTACAATCTCACTCATATCTATCAGTAAAGCTGGATTCTGAATACAAGAACCACCATGGCATATGTCCTTCTAACCGGTGCGAATGACTTCGTAGCCTCGCACATCTTATCTATTATGATTGAAGTATGTTGATGGCAGCATTTTATCTCATGGACTTGTCCATTAAACCTTCTGCAGCGCGGATATGCCGTTACTGCCACCGTGCGCTCTCAAGGCAATGCGGACGACATAATCAAAACACATCCCTCATGGAAGGACAAGATTCAATTTGCGATTGTGGCCGACTTCACGTCCACAAAGCCATTCGATGATCTTTCCAAAATACAAAGACCCCTTTTAACTATGTTACTCATGCGGCCTCGCCATTGGATTTCAATGTATCTGATATTCGAGGGGAACTGATTGAGCCTGCAGAAATGGGGTATCGAATTATGCACCCAACCATGCAACTGGAACATACTTGCTGACATGAGTGCCCAGAACAACGGAGATTCTCAAAGCCGCCCATCACTACGGCGGCGCGGCATTGAAGCGCTTCGTCCTGCTAGGTAGCGAAGTCTCTGTTCACAACTCTTTCGAAGACATGTCTCGAGAAGGGAAGTCGTATACCGAGAAGGATTGGAGCCCGGTAGGCACTTATTGCCATTCGTTTTCGTCTCTTAGTTCTCCCAGCTCACAGGCCACCAGGTCACAGCCAAACAAGCTATCGAGCGAAAGGACACTGTGCTCGGATATAACGTATCCGAGATCCGTGCGGAAGCCGCAGCCCGGGTGGGAATTCATCAAACAAAACACGCCGTCCTTCGACCTGGTCGTAATTAACCCAGATATCATCATCGGACCAATGATCCATCCGATCTCGGGGCCCAGGTCAATCATCGAGACCAACCAGTTCGCTATCGTGAGCTTTATCGACGGAACATATAAGCAGATCGAAGGGGTCGCGTTTCCGTTCTATCATTTTGTAGGTTTTCAAGCTCATGCCGTCTCCGTCTAATCACCGAAACTGACTTCCAGATAGGTCGATGTCCGAGACGTCGCGCGCAGCCATGTCGACGCACTTAAAAACTCATAGGCACCAAACCAGAGAATCCTTCTCATCTCAGGGCTGATTGCGCCGCAGTTAGTGGCTAATACTATCCTCAAGAATTTCCCGCAACTCAGAGATCGAGTTTCTGAGGGGAATCCAAGCCAGCATCTACCACCCGGTATTCATCCGACGGGGTGGGATATGCGTGTTAGTCTCGATATTCTTGCTAAGGGTCAAGGAAGGGAAGTGGGAGTATCGGGATCTGGAGACTAGTATCACGGATAATGTTCGCTTGATGATTGAAAATCATGTCATCTGAAGGAGTTAGGAGAATTAGGTATACAATCTCGGTGTGACCAGTGGTCTTGGATGAATCAATTGTCGGTTTTATAGCAACATAAGCGAATGGAAAATTGACATATCCTGCTATATTTCAGTTTTTGGACACAGAAATATTTAGTCGAATAACACGAAGAAGATGATAGAGCAATCCATGCGATATATGGACCCGGAGAAATTCTATTCACAACAAAATGAACGTTCTACATCATGTTGAGTAATCAAGCCTAATAAGGTGAACATGAATCAATGGGCCCCTCGTACTCTCTCTATCAGTTAAATAAATGAATAAGAAATCTGGAGATCTGGATCTTAGCTCGGCGCTCGCGCAGATCTGATCCAACAGAGGCCGGTAGCGCTGGTGGTAGGTGGGTCCAACGCCATCATAGTCATTGTAATGGCTTGATCATAGCACGAGATTTCAGAATTCTTCCAGATGTCACTGCTTTGAACCTTACAACATGAGAACCAGGCATGATTCAGCAGCGGAAGGCGACGGCACAGTGGACCCTGAGGGCTTACAAGCGTATGCATGACATCATCTCCGCTTAACCCTAATCCGGATGCTCAGCTACGACTTATTTTTCTATAAAGTCAGAATGTCCCAATTATCATGGGCGTTTAAGTCGCTAAACTAAGACCTTGAACAGCAATCAAGGTCCATCATGTCCACTCTTCTGCAAGACTCAATATTCGGCCAGGCCGTCCGAATCCTCACCAACAATCGCCTTTTTCGATACGCCGAAGAAAAAGACCCTTCGCTATGGCATCGCTATGTCAATCTCGAGAAATCGAGTCGATTGGCGAATCACGGTCGCATGGACTCGGTGACTATTCCAGAGGATCACCAACTCGCGCGTTCCGAGACTGCAACGCGAATTCCTTCGACCGCATGGACACACCGAGGGCATAATTTCCAAGGATTAACAGGCGTGGAGATTAATCCGGAAAAGGGAAAAGATATAAATGTGGTTGACTGGTGGGATGACAATGATCCGGAGAATCCTCAGAACTGGTCGTTGGGCAAGAAAGTCTTCGTGACATTTCAGATATGTCTGCTCACGTTCAGCGTTTATATCGGGAGTGCTATTTACACTCCCGGAATACCGACGGTGATGGAGGAGTTTCAGATTGCACAGGTTCCAGCTACAATAGGCCTGACTATTTTCGTTGCTGGTTATGGTTTGGGTCCGCTGTTGTGGTCGCCCCTGAGCGAGGTGCCCCAGATCGGCAGGAATCCGGTGTATATTGCAACATTGATCCTGTTTGTGGCTCTTCAGGTTCCGACGGCACTTGCCAAAAACCTGGGAACGCTGTTGGCATTTCGGTTCTTGACGGGACTCTTTGGTTCGCCAGCGTTGGCTACGGTACTTGCATATCTTCTATCGCACTAATAGCACTCTAGCTAATCAAATTTAGGGGGGTGCTACACTCGCAGACATGTTCAGTCCGGCTAAACGAGCCTACGCAATCAGCATTTGGGGCATAAGCGCAATCTGCGGGCCTGTTCTGGGACCACTTGTTGGAGGCTTCGCAGCTCAGGCCAAGGGCTGGACCTGGACGATCTGGGAATTGACATGGCTGTCAGGGTTCACTCTCATCATGCTCATCTTCCTACTTCCCGAGACTTCATCGCCGAACATCCTATATCGGCGGGCCCGACGACTACGCAAGCTGACCGGACGCGACAATCTCAAATGCGAGCCAGAAATCGAGAGCGAAGGCCTTATGGGCAAGGAACTCGTCATGACCACTCTTATCCGCCCCTTCACCCTCAACTTCTTGGAGCCTATGGTCTTCCTCTTAAACCTGTACATCGCGCTCATTTACGGTCTGCTCTACGTCTGGTTTGAATCCTTCCAGATCGTCTTCGACGGAATTTACGAGTTCAATCTCGGCCAGCAGGGCCTCGCCTACATCGGCATCCTTGTCGGAGCAATGATCACTATCCCCCCTTATTTCTGGTGGATGCACAAATACCTCGAACCCAGATTCGACGCCAATGGAAACGTGGCGCCAGAAGCCCGCCTACCCCCAGCCATGCTCGGTGGCTGCTTTATTCCAATCTGCCTCTTCTGGTTCGGGTGGAGTGCTCGACCCGGAATCCACTGGATCATGCCCATCGTCGGCTCGGGGTTTTTCTCCGTAGGAGCATTCATTCTCTTCAACTGCGTCTTAAATTACCTCCCCGACGCGTATCCCAATTATGCGGCGTCCGTGCTGGCAGGAAATGATTTGTTCCGGTCGGCCTTTGGAGCTGGATTTCCGCTGTTTGCGTCGGCCATGTATCATCATCTCGGGGTTGGGTGGGCGAGCTCTACGCTGGCTTTTTTGTCGATTGTGTTTATTCCGATTCCGCTTGTGTTAATGAAGGTTTGTTTCTCTCTATCTCATCTGTCGTCGGAGGCGATGCTAACAAACTTTCCAGTACGGAGAAACGCTAAGGAAGAATTACAGTCGGCATGCACGCAAGGATATATGAGTTGTTGTCGGCGGTGATAGATATAGATAGATCGATACAGGGATGATAAAAAAATAGATTTCAATAAGTCATTCATGCATATTTTATTGTTAACTTTCTCTCAAAGCGGCTAGCTAGCTAGTGTTAGCTGGTTAAGTTAGTGTTAATAGTGAGAAAGAGGGGGAAATAAAAAAAAACCCCCAAAAATAAATAGCAAGCTGCTTCATAGAAATGCCCCCACGCGGGATTGAACCGCGGACCTCTGCATTACGAGTGCAGCGCTCTACGACTGAGCTATAAGGGCTCGCTATGAGATGACATATACTTTTTTTGATTTATATTGTTGTTCTTCCCGGGAAAAAAAAAGGTTTGAAGCTACAACATTCGATCTCCATGGAACTTGATTCCGTTGCGGTATATGCTGTAAACTATGATTTTTTTTGCCTTTATAAAGTATTTCTGACCTCGATTTGAGCATCCGCTGTTTTTCCATACTTATTTAGGCCCGTTCGCAGAAATAGGTCTCTCCCCTCTCTCTCTGCATCTTGAATATATTCGCGGTGTTCATATATATAGCTGTCTGGGGAGAAATCGTACCTCACTGTACTATCCGAGTATAATACATATAGGCCCCTACATACAGACGCGTACAAGCACAACTGCCCCTCTTGCTCCGGCTAGCTGCTAGAAAGACTGTCGGTGATCATCTTTTCTAGCGAGCTGGTCGGAGACAGCAACGCCGCCTCGTCAAATAAGAAAAAAAGCAAGCTGACAATTTCCCCCTGGACCCGTGGGCCATAGTACCATTGGAGGGTCTTGGAGATGTCCTATGATAAATCAGTAACACTGCCTGGTGAATGAATTTTGACTACTCACGAGAAGATTCGCGTTCAGTTGAAAAAACTCAAATCGACTGCCATCGCTCAAGAACCCGTACACGGGCTTCGTGGCCTCCCCTTTCTCTTCTCTCTCGTTGAAAATCGCCCCTATTTGTGGTGCAGCCATCAATCAGTTTTGCGACCCTACCAGAGGGAAACAGATCACTTACACATATGTCCCAAGGGTTGTTATTCCGTGTGATAGTTCGCCCTACTGCTTGGCCTCGATTGCTATGATGTGCATGATTGTATCATCGTGGTTCCTATAACACGTAGTATAATCCCCGATTTCGAAAACTGCGAACTTTCCAACTGGAGCTATACCAGATAAAAAATTTCTGAATCGCTTGCCCGAAAGAAGGAAAAATAAGGTAAGCCATGAGCGACAAGGAGTTTCGTTTGGCGTGGAGCCATCGGCGCGCTTTTCCCATTTCCCCATATGATCTAGTATATGTGCTATTGAACTGATTAGTTTCTTTCGTATATTGAATCTTGAGGTGAAGATTTACAAGGATGCCACAAGCCGGCTAATTTTGGCGTTTGTCATTAATAGACTTGGTTGTGTGGTAAGATACCCATAAGCTTGCTCAGCTCATCCATTGTGAAGTCCCTGATCGCAGCTCAGCAAGGCTCTCCTTCGTGGCCTCTTCGAGAAGCCCGACAAGGTGTCTTTCCATTTTCTCGTAGTAGTTGAGCCTTATTCGGTGTATCCTTTCCGATTTGCGTTTTCGCCTGTTTCTCGCCGTGCTTTTGAGGTGCTTCTTCCTGGTGTATTTTTAGCTCTGCAAGGAAACAATTTTCAAGAGCGCGCCACATAAGGACGTGTAGGCGTGAGTCATGAAGAGAATCGGGATCACGATGACGCACAATTTCTCCCGAAGAATCTTTGATTCACGGCTTCTCGGATGATATTCACATTATTTTAGGTGGAGTTAAATGCGACACGGCTGTTGGGTGATTTACATTCATCATAACAGGATTATTCACCTCATCCGACAAGCTGAACACCAAGATGTCGAGCGTCAGCAAACACACGAGAAGAAACCTATCAGCCCTGGAGATAATGGAGGAGCCTAAAATATCAAAGGCCCTGGTGATCCCAGAAATCCTCAAAGAGATCCTTCTATACTTAGATACACACACTACTCACATCTAAGCGAGTGTGCTATCTCTGGAGTGATCTTATCGACCGGTCTAAAAGGCTACAAGCGGCACTGTTCTTTATCCTATGTGGAGAATCAATATTAGACCAGCCAGGTATTATAAACCCGCTGATAGACCGGATATGGCACCAATTTTTCCGGAAGAGTTCAGATTCACGTTATAGACACGGCCACGAGGTAGCGAGACTGGGAAAGATTGAGCCCATCAAAAAGACAGCATATTTACGTCCGGAGGCTAGTTGGAGAAAGATGCTCATCCAGAAACCACCGACATCACTTGCATTTTTCCATGAAAGTTGTTACTGGAGTTTCGACGCTGTGTGGAAAACTTTCTGCTGTGCGAAATGTAAGCCCGAAGGAGATTATCCGCATCAAGAACTTGGAATTTCAGATGGATTCAGGGCCATTAACACCTGGCATATTTCCTCCCTCGTTTTGGGCGGACCCAAACAGTATGCATAGCAACAGTTTCCAAGAGCAACTCAATGATGGACTTTTATGTTGCGAGGGCTTTAAAAAATGTTGACCTTATTATTAATATTTACTTTGGGGTTTGGCGCTCAGTCCGGGTTGAAGAACCCCCGTATATAAAGGGTCTAAGATAATTCCATGGGCGAATGAATTCTACGGATGTTAAGCTCATTCATACGAAGGAATTGCTCTGAATGCAAAAGGGCCGATGATAACTATAAACTTACGGCTGGAGGATACTCACCCATATGAAGAGAATATATATGGCCTTCCTTTATATTTTAATATTCGGGTTAAAGGCTGCTGAAGGGTTGACCTTGACATAGGGACTCGTTTTAATAATTCACTAAGGTTGTGTGGACAAGCGGCCGCCCACATTTGCTGTTATCTTGCTAAGTTGGGTTACTTGTTCTTTTTTTTCCTTCTTATCTGGCGTTGATTTAGTATTGTCAGAATCGTTAAGAAATTTTATAAAAACAAAGACTGACTTCCCAAAAGCGTCGATTTTCGATAGATATAGGTGTTGTAGACACTAACAGAGACGCATAGTATATTCATCTCTATGAAATGGTGTTTATGAAAAATTGTCCGGACGGCCTTTTCACGAAGGAAAGCCCTCATATTGACTACTCGACTCAATGTCGCCGCCCTTGCCTCATTCTGAATGAAAAGTTGCATGTCTTGAATCCCTAACTCATCCTCCAAAAAAGCAAAAACTTACAACAGCAGGGATTCGCTGGTGGTCATCCACCCAACTACGAACCTGCCGGCGTGTGGCTTGTGTACGGTGTACAGTCAATACAGAGTAGGCGGGTGGGTGCCTCTAAGCCGGCGACCCTAGAGAGCTAAGTCACGGCCAGCTTTCAGTCTGTGGATGTGGGTCCATTGTCGGAAAGCTGTGATAGACTGGTAGTACGGCTGCAGCCTCAAGCCAAAAGCTTCAGGTCAATTGACTTATGGCGGAGGGTGGTTTGGAGTGCACTGTACAGGTGGGGTCGACGGCATGAACCTGGGTCCACATGGGGTCTGTGCTATTCATTATGGCTGGTCTCCTGGGTCTGGCTGGTTTAACTTACACAGAAAGTAGAATTTTGTTGCGTGTATTTCCCCGGTTTGCTCGCGAAAAAGCTACGTGGTAAACTCAACGGCGCTAGTGATTTATCCTTAGGCTTAATAAACATAGTTCGAGGGGGAATCCAGGCATTGACCAGTTTCTTGCCATTCTGGCGCTAGCCCTTCATAAATGTTAGCCATTTTGTGAACTTAAGCTAATAGAGGAGTAGGGTTGGCGGTATCTAGAGATAAAATCCACTTTTTAGCGAAATTTCCTCAAATTGAGTTAATTCATGGCCATTTAGTCATGTTGCATGCCATGATTTAATCCGTGAAGGCGATCATGACGTGTAGTCATTGGAACCACAAATATGGGCGTAGCTGCGTGATTTGATGCGACTATACTATTCTGAATATCTTCAAGAGCAAACTCGAGTGAATAATTTGCGACGTGTAATGAGAGGACACCACTAGCTGCCAGCTACAATCCATAGCCAATCTAGTGATTCCGCGTATACCACCTTAAAAATTGTATTTATGTAACTTTGTATAAGACCGACTGATTATAATAAATTTTCGCACGGCCTTGACTCGAGTAACTTCGCTCTCTTTGGTCGCAGCTCCCAAGAAATGTGTTTTACGATTCATTCGAGTGGCTATGGTGATTTGACTCAACATCCCAAGTTCTGTTCACAGTGATGCCTTCCTTGTCATAAGCCCCTTGTTTCTTGAGGGTTGATAATGGGATCGCGACGGTCGTTTTAGTACGCGCTTGGTCGAATGTCGAGTAACGTTGTGGCCCTTCTTCCGTATAACTACTCACAGTAGAGAAAGGCCGCATGTCTTCGTTATCGTCGGGGTCCGATTTGAGTATCCTTGTGGCCCATGATGAGGCCTGAGAGTGTTTCAGTGGCGTAGCCCAAGAGGGTGGATCGGTCGATTGGTTAGTAGGTTGGGAACCAAAGAGTTTTCGTCGACCTATGACCCATACAGGGCGCAACACTGGGAGGCAAGCTTTGATGCAGTCAATATTATGAGTCACCCTGCCCAGCATGAAGATAGCACGTACCTGAGACAATTGCCAAGTCAGCTTCGACGGTGGCCCAAATGGCCTGATTGACCCAGTTCCAACTGACGTCCGCATCAGTACCCTGGGTCATTACTGAGACGAGTCGCACTATCGAGGCGATACACACACTGTTTGGTCAGTCTGCTATTGCCAACAATTAGAATGAGAGGCCTACTTACAAACCGCCTAGAAGAAACATTGACATAATAGCCTTTTTGTGGTTGCTCGATGTGTTGAGTTTCAGGATGTAAGGCACAGGAAGCACGAGAAGAGTAACATCAATTAGGATGTTTGGGATTGAGATTGCAAACAGGAACTTTTGGCTGTCAACATTGCAAGAGGCATCAATAGAATGATCCCATAATCCTCGGGTTGGTACACATTGCAGCAACGTGAGCAAAAACTGGAACTGTGAGAGATAATCTTCTACTTGAGGGCGGAAAGATAACACTTACTACAGCGATACCCCACATGCAGACCGCTGTGGCAAGAATGCTAATGGGAATCTTTATGTTCGTCTTGTTAAATATACGCCAGTACAAGGCGAGAATAGAGAACTTGACAAGGACAATGACGCCGGTGTAAGTCAGTTCACAAGAGAATAGCCCGATATATGCTTCCTCCGTAGCATTGGGTCCGAAGGTCTGAATATGCCTTCCAAGAGCGCGAGGTATCCCTGAATCTGTCAATTTCCAACATTTGCGTAATACCAATTGGATATCCCCTTACACCACAATAATGAAGCGGTCAGACCAACGCCGCAACCCTAATGAACAATATTAGAAACTCTAAACTGGGAGCAAAAGCGACAGTACGTACCAGTGAGGCTAGAATCAACCAGTCATCAAACCATAAACCTGCTGTGTTTTTCCAGCGGCACCAGAATCGAAGACCAACACAGAGAACCGCGACGACGAAAGGTAATATTGAAGAAGCATACAAATTAGGTTGACGAGTTTGGGAAAGGTCCACAGAGGGCATGGAATGAGACATAATAGCTACAGGGAGTTCTGAGTTTGTGATAAGCAAATAAATGTTCACTTAGACACCGAAACCCTCCCTGTGGAGACGAAAGCATAGAGTGTGGCCACAGTGAAAAAGATCTTTTATAATGTGTACAGAGTGCTCCGAGTAATATAACATTGAGTGACTGAACCGACGGGTGGGCCAATGCTTTCCTTCAGGCTTCCCGGCCCCTCTGATTTTGTAACTGAAAGCGGGGCAGAAGAACTGGAAAGGGAAAACCAACAGGAGATCAATAATGTAAAACTATAGTATAACTGGTGTTTCCCCTTATGTGACCTCGGCTGGGGCCCTCGCTGGTTGGCCCTCCAAAAATGCAGTAACGTGAATTCTTCGGATGCTCCTCAATGGTGAGTTCTTTCTCCTTACTTGTTTTGTTCAGCCCCTGGCGTGCACGGAATTATTGCCTGCTTTGGATCGCTAGTGAATGCACGTTTCATTTTGCCTTCCGTGCAGTAGATCCACGGACCTATGAATATCCCCGCAACATTGACGGCCTTACGATGGACATGTCACAGAGAGTCAGAGACAGGGTGGTGTATTTAAGCGCTGCCCCGGGGGCCAAAAGGTTGGTATTCCAACGTCCCTTCCAAGGTTTCAGCCCGCATCAACGGCAAAGATCCCCACTATCGGACCCGACTTCAGTATGCGGAGTAGTATATGTCTACGTACAGTGAGATGTCTGTCGATACCTGTCGATCAGCGACCAATCAAAAGTTAGAATACAACGTCGATCACTTATGCGAGCTTTTTTTTTTTTTTTTTCCAGCCCCCAAAAGAACAAGAAACATCTGTCACTAGCGTTCGGCAAAGGGAAGGAAGCTCCGCTGTTATCTTCTGTAGTGAGTGGCTAATATTCCGAGGAGCAACACCTGGGCAGGACTCCAAGTTTGCACTTCAAATATTCGCTTTGCCTTCTTCCACTCCTGTCTTTTGATCAATACCATATACTGTTCCAAGGTTCCAAGGTTCCAAGGTTCCTTTCCTATTGACTTATCCCAACAATTACAAAACATCTTAATCTCTATCTTTTATCCCGTTCAATTAAATGCCCACCTTCAATCTGCAGACTAAATAATTTCGCCCCCATATTCTTTCATGCAATGGTCGTAACATTTGTTTAAATCCTTGTTCACTCCTCCACAACTGAAGTGCGAGATGAGGAGAGGGGCTGTTCCGAGTGCCGACCCACTGAGATATGTATAGTGTATGCAACTACTACTTAGCCCCCACCTGCAGGTACATATTCTAGTACACGAATTACCACTTACCTGTATGTATGGAGTACCACCTAGGTATGTGAAGTAGATGTTTTAATATCCTGGTAGGGCACAGCAACCCCATTGGACGGGCGTGGTCCCTTTAGGCTTGCAGGTAGCCGTTGGAACCTGGAATGCAGTTGATTATGATTGCGTAATATATTAATCTGACATGCGGCTGATTTCGAAGGACTGATTAGTTATAAGACCCAGCCTCGATTATAAATCTGCAGTTGTAACTAGATTGAAATTAGCAAGATTAGTTAATCAAATTATAACAAATACTTAGTTAGTTACCACCAAATCCGCCACTCCGCCTTCTTTAGCTTACTCCTGGTACCTAGCGATCCGGACTTCTCAGCTTTTTTCTTCTCAGTAATAATCTTCAACATAACAAAGTTGCAACCTGTTTTGAAATCAGACTCCCCTCCACCATGTCTTCGGCGAACCTCCCGGTGATCGTTATCGTTCCAGGTGCCTTCGGCACACCTCAAGGCTTCGATAAAGTGCTACCGTATCTGACCAAAGCCGGATACGCAACACACCCAGGATCATACCCTAGTTGCAATCCCTCTGATCCGGCCAACGTGTCCTCTACTCAGGATATCGCTTTCTTGCGCGACAACGTATTACTCCCTCTTTTGAACGAACAGGGTAAAGATATTGTCATCATCGCACACTCATACGGGGGTGTTGTTGCAGGTGGCGCAGCAAAAGAACTTGCGAAGGAGACCAGAAGAGCCCAAGGTCAAACTACTGGCGTAATCGGCCTTATTTACGTGGCGGGCAACATTACACTTGATGGAGAATCTCTCTTCAATGCTGTAGGCGGCGCTTACCCTCCTTTTATCAAAGTCGACAAGGTACCGTCTACCCAGAACAACCGCGATCATAACCATAGGATATTAATAATTTTGTTCCCAGCCATCTCAGGGGCTTGCTGTCATCGAGCCGGCGATGGAAATTCTGTACAATGACTGCGACCGTGCCCTTGAGTCAGAATTGGATAAGCTAATGCAGCCACACGCACTCCGAGCTTTTGAAACACCCGCGACTGCCCCAGCCTGGGCGGAGAGTGCGTTTGATGGTAGGAGGGCGTATGTGCGTACACTGGACGACTGTTGTAACCCTTCATCATTGCAGGATATGTGGCTGGAGAAATCCAAGGTCGAATGGGAAGTTGTGGACTTTAAGACCGGACACATGCCATTCGTGAGCCAGCCTCAGGCTCTGGGGGAGCAGATTACCAAGTTCATTGATGGCTTTATTGCAAAGTAAATAGTGACGTATCCAGTGTCCATAGCATGGTGCAGAACTTGGAATACACACCAGTCAAGTTGACTTGCGCTATAGATTTTCAATCAATCAATCAATCAATCAATTGAAGCCTATCTATTGAAACGCTAAGCTATGCAGGCGCTTCACCGAATGAAGCAGAGTCTCGAGTTCGTATGCCGTACAAACCCAATGCAGTAGACAAATAAAAAATTAACACAACTAAAGCAGCTCGTCAAATGCCTGCTGTGTGCCTACCGCGCCTCCAGGCGTAGTCCTGGGTATGCCCACGCAGTCACTCGATAGAGTTGAGGTGTTACATCATTATCCCCCGGCTGGCGAAGTGCAGCGAACACTATAAATTATTACCAACTGACACCTTTCTAAGATAAGACGGACTGGTCAACTTGAAGAGCCTTTCAATAGTGACTACCTCAAGATTAAATTTCAAACCTTTCTACAAACTATTGCGGGCTGACCATATCTTTAGAATGAAACAAGGGATAGGGGGTCACAGCATGTGTAAGTATTCCTAATTACAGATAGAGATATTTCTCGCTTTTACACCACCGACTAGTCTGTTGTATCAGTCTTCTTTGTCACCCATACCAATTTTGGGACCATGATCGAAGCACCATTCAAAGTCTCCACCATCGCACTGCGCTCCAATTTCCTGGATGCCTCCGGAGTTTTCAGTGCATTTTCTGCAAACTCTTTCCATGTGCTCACATATCTATATGCAAGTTAGGTACTACCGTAGCCACGTAGTGTTGGTCTCTATTATAACTCACAAATCACTCCAAAATCGGGCCATTCCGAGTCCGTACTCGTAGGTATACAGCGTTGAGTCAGTATATCCGTTTTCATCCATGGTTCGCGTGAGCTCATATTTCCAGCTGTGAAAGAGATTAGCTCGCACCAGATCTTCCAACAATTTTCTTTCAATACACTTACGTGTCATGACCTTTAAGCTGGGAGAAGAGTGCATCAAGGTTAGACGCCGAAATCCCAGGTACGGTCTTGATGGAACATCCAATGGTGTCAACCTCGTCCCACTGAAGGTAGCCGCCAGGTCCTTGACGCAGTGGATTGTCAGCCTAGCCATATAATTGGAATAGATAGTGCATACTCAGTAGCTTTCTCAGGTTTACTAGAATAGGCCTCGGGTCGTTATTCTTGACAACGACAGTGATCAGACGAACGTGTACAATGTCGAAGTAGCCCACGAACTCATCCGGCACGTTTTCAAAGATATTCCAGACATGCATGTGTATATTGGCGGGTAGCCATGGTTTAGGGCCTACTTGGTCCAGGCTGATATCGAAGCCGTGAAGATCAACGGACGGTGGTTTTCCACGAGCAAAGTCCTGAAGCCAAATACTAAAAGAGTCAGAGAAGAGTACTTCCAAAGTAAGCGAATCACTGTACCCGTTTCCAGTAGCAACATCAGCGACTCTCAAGTCAGAAGCCCGAGTATCAATATCGGGATGAACCAAAAACCCGAGTAGCTCTTTCCAGAGATAATGCTGCGCTGTAAGTCTAGTTATGATATTAGTGAAATATCCATTAACGCTATATTTGGTGAACTAACCGAGAGTTCGCATTGCAATCGCGCATCAGTGCATAAGGATCTTTAGCTCCTACAGTTGTCCCATTCCAGCTGTTCGCTGTTGGTAGCTGTGGTACACTGTTATCTTTTGGAGTCTTGTCATTCAGTGAGTGTCCATTTTCGCGGATTGAAGTGGGGCTGCTGATAATCTCAGTTGCGCTCATTATGCCAATATTACCAGTGTACAGAGAACAATTGATGTCAGGTGGCTGTATAATTGGAGTGATAGCTTTTGAAGGGACTCAGTTGATTCAGAAGTAAGTTTTTATAGGGAAACTGGAATACTATATAGCCTCAAACGCTCACCTAAGCACATACTCCGTACAAGCATGTGAACAATACAGTGCTCGGTACTTACTATAGCCGTTTGTGGAGCTTTCCGACTAGTATACTTGGCGGGGCACTTACGGAGTACGCGTCTTAGCAAAGGAACAATATACACCATATTTGGGGGTCGCAGTTGGCGCGGTGTCAGAATTTAATGCGGCGGTGTCAAAGTTGGTTCGGTATCAGGAAAGCTCGTACGGTATCAGAAAATCTGATTCGGTGTCGGAATTCTAAGCCAATCCGAGATCAGGCCATTTAATAACTCTTATTCAATAACTAACTATCAGAGAGAGCCTCTTGGCATTCTAATACCAAAGAGGCTCAAGAAACTGAAAATCCCGACACCGCCGCACTAAATCCTGACACCGCGCCAACTGTATACCCTACCTATATTTGGCCCCCCACTCCTCTTTGTTATGGAACGGTATCAATGGCCCCCACTGTTGGCTATTTAGTATTGATAGAAAATCTCTTTTTCCGGGATCTACACGGGTAGTTTGATCCTGCGCGTTAGTTTAAGAGAGCAGGATAAATTCTAACTAATCAGTAATCAGGAATTCTAACTACTGAGTAACTAATCATTAATCAGGCTCCTTCCGACTTACCGAGGGCTAAAATGTTACAAGCGCCCTCTTGGGGATAACGTTCCATAACAAAGAGGGGGAGGCAAATACTATATTTTTCCTTAGCAAAGAAGTGTGGGCCAGCTACTTTGGTTTGTCTGCCTTGCAGGTCTCGTAATATTATGACAGCGACATGGCTGTATTGCCTACTCAATCGGGAGTGAAATGCTTTTGAATTCTCTATGAAAAGGGGTTGAGCGCTATTGCCAAGCCGCCATACAGGGAGGGCGGACTGAGGCGGCAGTATCGCCAACATATTACCTGTATACGATCCATATCAACTAGGCCTCTAAGCAGGGCGAACCCCCTCCCCTCCTTTCAGAGTACATAATGTAATTCTTCCTGGATGTCCAGTTCTGCGGCTCCGGGTGGACAATGTGAAGGCTATGTGGCTGCTTCTGCATCATCCCTGTACTTGTGAGTTGGAATGAATAGTATCGCCCGAAGCGTCTGGCTGTATTTCGCACTAGAGCTCCTACTATCCGACTCCAACTCTGGTAACCGATCCAATTGGAAGAGGGGTGGGCAAGATACAACAGTCAATAATGTTGTGCAATAGAAATTTCAAACACTAGATGCCAAGCGGTGTGTATATACTACTGTGCTGTACTTGTTATGGAAAGTGATCGCCAAAAAGTCACACATAGTTGAAAATATGTACGAATACTTTTCCATAGAATTGGCATCCATCTAGCGATTCCATTTCTCGGGGCCTGGTGCTATATCGACCTATGTACAGTATGAGCCGGGTTAGAGACAGGCTATACATCTAGCAGGCGAGGAGCTTGGTGATCAATGTGATACTTTAGATTATTATTTGGGTTGTTTTTTTCTGGCATTCAATAAAGAAATGCCGTTGTACTCCAAAGTGGAGAAAAGAGGTAAAATAGGCTTCAGGGATATCCGAACGGCTCTCTCTCTCTCTGATCAACGGCATATTTCAAAACAGAAGGACAGAAAGCAAGCGGGGCTTGATTTTGTCTCTAAAGCATAAAAATTAACAAAAACAAAAAAACGTACAACAGCATGTATATGTCGGTGGTCACCCACCCCAGCGCCCACGGACTTGCCGATTTGACGCCGCTGGTCGGGCGGCTTCAGGTGAAGCCTTCAGTCCCCTGAATATTCTGCACCCAAGCCACCAAAAGTAGCATTCTGAAATTGGTGCAACAAGCAGGATAGAGGGGCAGGTACTGCTGTTTCTTTATAAAGGATGACATTTACACTGTCTTACTTTTCCTCCTTTATCCTTCCCCCTTTATCCTTCCTCCTCTCATGCTCCAGCCTACTCGTTCAACATGCGACAAGATCCAACAGCAAGGTTTACGTGTGTAGTCAACCTCGATGATCACGACGACAAAGAAATAAAGCGAGCTATTCTTCCACGAACACAAGAGGAATATGACCGAGCTCTTGGGATATTTGATCGGTAAGTAAATACCTCTGGTCTGCAGAAAATTCTTACTGATGTTTCTAGATTTCTACAGTTACACCCAGCTGCCCGGTCTCCACCTGACACTCAAACTTACAAAGCCTTTCTTGAATTTGTGGCCAAAAATACAGATGGGCGAATCAAGGATAAACCGACACCTGACACCATTGAAAATTTTCGACGGCACTTTGAGGCAGGCCTGTCCCGGAACAGGAACTTTCATGTCCCCCAAAGTATGTCAACAACAATGAAGGAGGTTTGTCTGCTTAAACCTTGCTCAAGTTCTCTACAGAATGCTAAAGAGATCTCTAGTATATTATATCAGACCTGGCAAATAAACTTGGTCTTCCAAATGTCGAGATGCCTAAAGACGGATTCTCTCCGAATGATTTGACCGTCCTTCAAACTCAGCTCTGGTGTAGGGACTTCAAGGAATACCGAGGATGCTATCCTGATCGGAGTAGAGTACAGCTAACGGCATCAATGTTACTGTATTGTTTCTCGTCTGCCCGAACTGGTGAAGTCCATGAGTCAACAGCTCGCCGAGCCGTTGCTCGTGAGAAACAAAACGATAATAAGGATTCAACTCTTCGTGCTACTGTTATGGCAGCATGCTATAAGGTTCGTGATTAAAAAGTACAATTTTGAAAACTGCAATACTAATAAGGTATAGCATTTTGTACTCACTGTAGAGCTAGTTGACCAAATTCCGATGCTGGTTTTAACATATTCTCGGGAATACATCAAAGGTTACAAGCGAATGAAAAAATGGCAACTTCCAATAAATGCCTTCTATGAGGTGTATAGGGAAGAGGTACCCCTGTTCTTTAACTTCATTCTGTTTATGTTGCCACTGTTCTCCGGTGACCGGGCCTTTCTCCAGTATAATTCTTGTTCTGAGATACTTGATACTGTTGACTCTATCAAGCTCACTGACCTAGCCACACAAGATAATCATATTATCTTGGTCATTCGTTTCAGGAATGAGATACTCGACATTCCAATCTTCAGGCCATTCAATGAACTTGATTGTGGACGTTCTACTGGAAAAGCGAGAGGTGCTGATGCCTTTGGGAAAGAGTTCGCAGATCTTGGACATCGAAGTGGATATAATTGCAATGTTACTGCCCGTGCGTGTCGCCGATGGAATCTTATGGAAACAGGCAAGCAAGTTTCAGTTCAGCCATTTATATCTAATTATTAATATCCTCCAGATAAAAAGTACTCTCAGACAGCCCGAATGAAACAGGCCGGACACGTCGAACCGCGCACCTTTGGCAGGTCATATGCTCACCCTGTGTGCGAAGTAGATGGACCTGCAACCTACTTGAATATTGCCTCTCGCCATGAACATATCCAAAATCGACGGAGTATGGGGCTGTACCGAAACCCCAACCTATGGCAATCTCTAGCTGCGAAAGCGGAGTTTGAATTCCAGGAGAGAGAAGATATTATAGCCCTTGATAAAAAATTAATCTCCCTTAAAAAGCAGCTTGAAGACGCAAATGACCCCGAAGCTGTCAAAGAGATGCGTTTACAGTGCCGTCGTATCCAGAGTCAAAAAGACAAATTATATCTAGAGGAACTGAAACGACAACGTCATCTCCAGCAGAATACTCAATCAGGGAATATTTATGAACAAACCTCTTTCCTCTATTATCGACGTGCTATGCCGGAGCGTGACCTTCTCGCTAGGATACTGCCCACTAGGTCATCCATACGAAGCCCAACTGGACGAGAGGCTATACTGGCGCTGGAAGTAATTTGCAGAAAACATCACCAAGTTGCCTATCGCGCAGGTCTGCAGCCAGTCGATGGAAGTTGTGTGTGCGGCAAATCGTTAGATATGTAAGTTTACTCTTATTTATATAATATTATCTTAACTAACTTAATAGGTTCCGTCCGCATCGTCAATGGCTCCATCTCTATCGTTGTATGTCAGAACAATTACGCCAAATAGGCAGTAATTGCTTTGCAGAGTTTTGCTTCGAGTGTGGCTTGTGGTCTAATAATCGGAAAGACTGGCACGAGCATTGCGCGGCTCATCTCTGCACGCCAGATAATTTGCTTCGATGTGACCCGATAATATTCCGGAATTGCCCAGTTAAGCCTGGTTACTGCCCATTTTGCTTAGGCGATGGCAGCCTATGGCCTACAAAACGGATGGAACAGTATTTGGATATGAGCAAATGGCACAGTCATGTTCAATCTCATTTGAGCAATGAGGCTCTACTTGACAACTTTCATTGTCGTCATCCAGCATGTCAGCAAGAATGTGGGTCACTGGCAGAGCTATCTTACCATCTTGAAGATATTCACTGCTTCAAGCCTCCACGTGGAAAGAAACGCTCGATAGAATAGACTTTTTGCGAGCCTAGAAGCTAAGGCTGCAGGGACATCATTTGACCATATAATTGACAGAGCTTAGTTGGTTTTTAATCATAATATGTGGAAAGCTTTTATCTTCGAGGATTCTTTTCACTTGAGCTGTCAACCTGACATAAGGTACGCATCGTTCTCCACAAATACGCTCCTACGGTGTACACGGGTCTTGAGCCTTTCGGAACGGTTATAAAAGATGTCTACTAGAGGTACAAGAAAAATAATAAAAAACGCTCAGAAATTATCAATTTTTACATTATTAAACAAACTCACTAACTCACATAGAATAAATAGAGTGAGAAAGGCTGCCCGAGAGCAGGATGATAAACTGACTAATGCGTACTCGAGGTCGTTGACTTGGAATTCTGGCCTTTTCACATTTTAGTAGTTGAGCGAGTAACCGTCCTACACGACCTACTAGGGGATCTGTAGAAGTGTACCTACCTCTCTCAGATCCGTGACAAGCAGGTTGAAAGGTTGCCAACCAGGTAGTTATTCGGTGCCAGCGGTAGGAAACTACACCGTACAGTACCTACACTGGTAACTACCTTCCCATTTAAAAAAAAAAACTTCGACGCGAACCAAATTTTTAAAATTACTCAACCACCACGACGGCTACGGCCTCTAGAATCAGCCAGTTTACTATCAACCCCAGCCGCTATCGATTGAGCCTAACTTTATAGGGGATATCGATATGGTTGGGGCGAAACCCTCGTGGCCGGCCCTTTTAGGGATTCCTGAGGCGGTAAACGCGCATAATCAGACTTTTCTCAACTGCGTTTTGAACCTCAATAAAGATGCGCAACAATACCTTTCATTCAACAAATCAAATGGGAAATAGCTTCCCAAACCGGTAGTCAGCTTTATACAGCAGGTAGCTGACGCCTGCGATTTCTGCAACACGAAATTATAGATATTCTGACTGCCAACTGCTGTATCGGCCCCGAGCTGGCCAACATCCAGCACACCCTTCAAACCGTCTAGAAACAAACCTATCAAACTCAATCGAGTGTTCAGAAGCAGAACTACCAGTCCTGGGCCTCTGTGGTACGCAACGCGCCTCCCCCGGCCCAAAGGACCTCTTCTCACGGCCTGCCTACCAATATGCTCTCCTAACAACTTGCTCCTACTCAAATTTCAGCAATTTTCGCAACGTCGTTTCCGGGATCTACAGAGCAAGAATTCAATTTATCCTTTTTGCCTGTTCAGTTGGAGCTAGAAAAATAAATAAAAAATGAGAGTCACCAACCTTCGCGAAATCAGATCCACGTCTTTGAGCGATTATGTACAATTCTCGAGGGATATTCAGGCCCAACAGCAAGTTCTCGTCGATCGGTTAAACAGCAAGCCTCTGCAAATAATAACATTCACATAATGTTTACTAGTATGATATCAGATTTATTCGTTCTTTGTGCATTGACAATATGTACTACAAAATTGTCTTTACTCCGGCCTCAGTGGATTGATAGGCTACATAATTGGTGGGAGGATGTTTCTGTGCCTTCTACGCTGAGCGAAATGGCGCACTGTTTGTGTGATGATTATAGCTTGCCATACAATTCACGTTCTGGATCCATCTATCACCATCCGAGTCCCGAGTTGCAACGGCTGATTGGTAATTGAAGAAACACTCCCTATAATATATATGTGACTGCAGCTGACAATATCTAGACACAATTCTATCTGATGACGTACGTACACGGGACTTTGTGGTTAAAAGAGATGACTTAGTTGTGTTTTTGGAATACTGCGACCAACAAACTTTATCTGGCTCCCATGAAGTGTCCCAGGAGGTCCTCACTCTACTTCCAATCCTTCGGGGTATTTCGTCTCCTCTAGTACCGCCCCAGCCACCCCGTCGGAGCTCAGCAAGGACCGCGAGGTCATTGTTAAACTACGAAATGCTGGTGTAGTGCGCACCTACCGGCGTCTTACGACTTTGGATATCAAGCAGAGAGCGGAAACAGCAAAACAGAAAATATGCGTCCAGACAGGGACTCTCTCCCTAGCTAAGGCGCGTTTTGTGGCTGCTAGACAGCTTAGGTCTGGCTACCTGAGCCTCTCACTCCGCTACGCCGCTGAGGCCGAAGCTGCCAGGACCCACGATCAATGGGCCAATCACCTGAGCGCGGGGGCCATGCTGCGGCATCCCTCTTGGGGTATCGTTGTACATGGGATCGTACTTAAGTCAATTGGAGATCTTACCACCGAAACAGAACAACAACGGGTAGCTAGCGAGCTACTCGGAGAAAACAGAGACTGCTGGGTAAGCAAGGAAGCTCCACAGATTTCCCGAATCACGCGTATCGCGTGGCTCACTTATTCGTCTAACCATAAGAACCAGAAATCGTCTGCCCTGATCGTAGAATTCCTAGATCCCCGTTACGCCAACGAGGCAATCGCACGAGGCACCATTTGGGACAGCGTTATCCATAAAACAGTGTTATATGAGCGGACTGCTCGTATCCGACGGTACTTTAACTGCCAACAACATGGTCACATAGGAATTGTCTGTTCGAATAAAACAACTTGCGGGCTCTGTGGGGGAAGCCACGAGACCCGGAACTGCTCCCACAAGTCTACCAACAGCCCGGAGCGCCGCTGTGCAGGGTGTAGAGAAGCACACGCTGCCTGGCACAAAGGGTGTTCGGGGTATGCAGGAGAGATGGACCGGGTTTAAGCTATAGCAGTGTACCGGCAAGTCTGGTACCGGGTCCCTCCTTATCTGCAGGACTTTCAGTTCTCCGTACGTGGCGGTACGGAAACCCCCAGCTCGTCTAACAACGAGAGGCGCAGCCAGCCGCACACGAGCCTCTTAGAGAGGCGCACAAGGTCCGTTAGTAGGCCTGTAAGCGTCCGTAACCGCTCAACAGTCTGATTTCAACCGGGGTCCACGCTGCCGTACGCCGGCTCGCAGGAGATGATTCCCACAGCTAGTGAACTCTCCGAAGATAGGATAGGTTTTGCTGCGGACGGAGTGGGTACGCCTCCGCAGCCTAACCGGGAGAAAGCCGGTCAGCAGAGCGAGCCGGAGATGCCTGCCCCAGTGACCCCGATGGGCCCTGGAGGAGCGTAATCTCCTGCCTAGGAGCTATCTAGGGGGCCGCAGAGGCATCTCAGTTGACCACTTGATCCAGTTGCTCCTTGACCAGATCTTTCAAAGCTGGGGCAAGGGCCAGAAGATTAGTATGTTACTCCTAGACGTGGCTGGCGCCTTCGACAACGTCTCGCATATACGGCTCCTCCATAATCTACATATGATAGGGCTCGGCTTCTTCGCCGGCTGGCTCAAATCTTTCCTATCGAACCGTTCTACAAGGCTGCAGCTCCCCGGATATCTAAGCAACCTTATTTTAATCCCTACCAGGATCCTCCAGGGGTCCCCTATATCGCCGATCGCACACCTCGATTATCATTCAGATGCGCACTATGAGGATAGGATTAAGGCTCTTCCTCTACAAGATCAAAATCAAACAGGTCGATTCCGACCGGTGCGCCTGTGACCTAGGGTCTCAGACCCCTAGGCACGTCCTTCTAGAGTGCTCGCTGCACACGGCCGGCCGGAGGATAATGATGGATTACAATCAGATAGAGGGACTGCGTGGGCGTATACAAGATTACGACGCAGTTTTAGTATACCCGCAGGCGATCCGTTACGTTACCGAATTTATGCAACAAACAGGCCTCCTCTAACAATTCCGATTCGCTCGACTGGACGAGGAAGACGACGAGGAGGCTCCAGAAACTACCAACCTGCTAGAAGGACTCGAACTAGGCGAGGAAGACGATGGTTATATGGAACTTTAGGGGGCGGCCTGGGTCAGGCCGCTACCAGTGACGCATACCACTCACGAACCACCTATACAGAACGAGGCGGAAGGAGAGACAGCGTCAGGAGACGTAATGGGCTGCGGCAGGCGAATGGCAGCCGGTTTAGTTGCGTTGCTTTATGATTTATCTACTGCGTTTGTGGGTTTATATGGCGTAAGGGCTCGAGATTCTGCTTCATTCGGCGAAGCGCCTACATAGCCTGTCGTTTCAATAGATAGGCTTCATCAGGTTAACAGAATTTTGATTGATTGATTGATTGATTAACACCTTCCCATTTTTTGTATCATTCTCTTTTTCTTACTTCTCTGTACATCCCTAGTTCTTTGGTTTACAATTATCAGCTTGAACTTCTTTATCCTCATCTTTATCGACTCTTCTTGCGTTACTTGTAAGGCCTCATTGTCGTCATCCGGAGTGAGCATTCGCGGCACGTCTGCAGGATTTTCAGTTACCCAATGTGAAGTCCTCTCTACCAATGACATATCAATCTCCCCCACGGGAATAACTTGGGTTATTCCGACTATTGGGTAGAAGCAAATAAGAGAAGCGAAAACGAGACGTACAGCAAATTAACAGCGTCAGGCAAAAATTTACTAGGGGTAGTGGTACTATTTTGATTTTTCTGCATTACGATAATTTCAAATCAGGACTACGGAGTAGGGTGTCGGGTTGCAGTTGCTATTTTCTTTTTCGCCCGCTCTTAATCTACTGTATGATCGTGCTGATCCAGAGCTAGAAAACGACATATACCGTACACAGTATATTCCAATGCTGGACTGTTTTTAGGCATACATACTATCTTTGAAGAATTTGAAATCATATTTCTATTGGGTTATTACTTAACATGTTTCTGTATCAAGGAAGTCCTGATTTTCTGACAACTGCTGCAGTTGATCAATGATGTGAATCGCAGAGCGTGTTTGTGTTGCAGCTCTAGAAAGTGATAAATGGAAGACCTTTAATTTCCTGCTATAAGAGCAAAGAAGCTTCCTCAGCTGTTTATTTTCACTTTGGAGACAAGACTTTTCTTCTTGCAGTTTGTCTAAGTCTTCTTTGAGTTTTTCATATGATTTTGTTTCCTGTGGTGTTTCCTTCTTAGGATCTATCTCGTTTAATGCCCAGATATGACCGCCTTGCAGGGCTTCACAAATCTGAATATAATTATTTGTAGAAAGATCGCTAAGATTTTTCTTAAATAGATGGCTGTAATCTTCGTCATGCTGCCATCGATAGGGATCACTTGGAATAGGGTGTAGTCGTACTTCGGAAGCTGGGATAGCTATTGAGAGGTTGTTTTCTGAATTATTAGTAAGGTAAACATATAACTACAAAACACTTACTTAGAAATTCGGATAATCTTTGGCGGCAAATGACTCTCTCTGAAGCTCGCTTTCTATTTGCCGCAGTAGACATTGTAGACATTCCTGGCATTCTCTTGAGTTAGGTGATAAGTACTAACATATATAGTTAATTTACTAAAAATAAACTATGATTATTTGCAGACTAACAGAAGTAGAGGAGTTCAAAAGCGCAAAGGTACAAAAGAAGAAATACAATAATGTGAATTCTGCCTAAAAGAAAGCTTCCCTTTACACTAGTGATTGATAGCTAAAAAGCATCTAGTAATTTAGTATAAGTACGATATCCCTTACTGAGTGCTACCAGCTTATCACTCAGTGGTCAGAGACACACTTTCATAGAGGAAAGGGAAAGCCATAAAAACGCTAGATTGAATAGCTCCGCTCGGCCGTAAGCTAAAGGGACATTGGCGACATGAACGTCTGCGCTAGTGCGCTCGAGCAGTCCAATCTTGCTGACTGAAACCTGATACAGTTGAGTTTAAAACTGGCGCCCGGGTCTATTACTCTTTCTTCTTTTTTGCGCTGCGTGCCAAGAGTGGGCTGATCCTGACACTCAAGGAAAGGCTCTTAATAAGAGCCGCTGCCCGGTGAATGGTACTGTCGGTTGACTTGGTCATTGCCCTAAGCAGATATCCTATCGATTCAACTGAATGTAGGTATATGCTCGGTGGG